GGACAAGTCGAGCAGCTCTTTAGGCTATCCAAGAACCACTACTGACACTAAATAAGGATTGTGAAGTTCCTAACACAAAAAAGCCACCTGATACTTCCTGGAGCTCAGCTGAAGTCACATTACACCACTGTAGCAGAACATAGCCCAGGGCTGGATTTCTGCAAAGGACAGATTACACTCAGTGGGATGTGGCTCATCCCAGGCCGAGGGGAATAAATTGAAAGATTGTCCACTGCTATAGCTATCACATGAATGAGAAGATATTTAGCTCCAAATGCCAAAGCATGAGAGGGGAAAACAAACAAACAAAAAAAGCATAACAAAAATCAGGGTTGTAGGTAAGAATAGCATAACTGCCAGGCTGCTTGCTACCATGAAATGCTCTTACCTCATCAAATTTGCCAAACTTCCCAGCTAATTCTGCCATCAGCGCTGTGAGATCACCTCCTTCTTTGAGTGCCTTGGAAATTACAGCTGTTATCTGTAAAAAGGAGAAAGTTTTCACAATACCTCTTGCAATAATGCAAGCAAATCACTTGGAGCTTAAGATGCTGAGATAGTTTGAAAAAGCTAAAATCCATGAATAAAATTATTTTATACTTCAGAAAAGGGAGTTAAAGAAAGATCAAATGCAAGTAATGGATTCCAGTCTTGCAGTAAGAGAACAATGAAAAGAGGAGCATGTTTCCAGTTGGCCCACATCCAGTAAAGTGGTACAGTGCAAAGCGATATTCTTTTCCTGGGTACACGCTCCTGAAAACCAAATGCACTTTAGTTATCAACATTAAGGGTACTTTTAAGAGAAAAATATGTAGCCCAAGATATGCAGGCTTCTACAGGCCTACACGTTTTCTAATTTTGTAATTGCCAGATAAATTAGTACACAGTACAGAATGCTGCCCTTTACTTATATTCTTCAAAGTTCGTATATTTTTAAGATCTTGTTGTTCACACAACTAACATTCACAGCTCATTTCTTGCAGATGCTGTACCTGTAGAGCTTTTCCCATTACACCTTTTCAGAAAGGCCTGACATAAACAAATTCCCCCTCCCTATGGCCTTTTATATTTCTCCTTCATTCACATTTCTCTTTGCATCTTCCGTGGCTCTTCCTCTTCTGCTTCATACCCAAGCTGTCTTATTTTGTTTTATAGACCCTTCAAATGTACATGCTTGTACTATCTACATACAGAGCATAGGAAGCTTACTTCCAGTTAGCCACAAAGCCAGCCTCCACCCCATACTGAAAGCCAAAGCCATCCTCCTTATGCTAGTCCAGCTATCTCCTGGCCTTGGTTGCAGGCTCCTTCAGTCAGGCACTCTTCACATTCCACATTTATACAGCTCTAGTACCTCCTACAGGGAAACTCATTAACATACAGCAACTGTTACTGCCTAGATTCCAAGCATTCAACCAGTTTGGCCTATTAATGTTTCCTCTATTATAGGATGCTCAAAATCCTGCCTCAGACATACACATCTGAACTAGCTTAGCTATCTTCCTGAATCCATGCCCTTACGTTAATTCTGGATACAATTCAGATGCACAGTGACTTATGAGCTAATAGTAAGAAACTCCAGATTTCTCTGGTTATTTAAATGGTTCCCCTACACACATGACCTCTCCTCTCAAGTGATGAAAGCAGCATTGGCAATACAGCTACAGATTTTGAAACTCTAATAAATTAAAAAGCACAATCCCACCATGATCACACAGTACCTTTGAGAAGTCTTCCAGAAGCATCTTCTGAAAGGCTCGCTCATATGGGTCTGAAGGCATCAGCTTCCTCCCTGGAAATGCTTCATCCAAATACTCACAAGTGATTGGGGACTCATAGATTATCTGGCCCTTGCTGGTCTCCAGAATAGGAACTAGCCCAGAAGGGTTCTTCTCAAAAATCCAGTCCGGTTTGTTCTTTAAATTGATATTAATTACTTCATGCCTAAAAGAATGAAGGAAACAAGACCCAAAGAGGTTCATCTCCATTGCAGTCTACACCACATGCAGTCATAACACTTCAATAGTTACAGTACTTAAGAAGCTGAATCCTCATTCTCTTGCTCCCCCTTGTCTTCCCTGAAATTCTTTCTGGGATTAACCACTTGACACTTACAAATACTGCCAGAAAGCACTTCTTTTCACAGAGAAAAACTGTGCTGACTAACAGTGACTTGGCTATTAAGCTAATACAACACAGAAACAGCCTTTGACCATCAGCCCTACCAGTCACGCTAGTAACAAAGGTCAACCTTAGCACGCAGCACATGCTTATCATATGATAACTCAGGGACATTCAAAGAGGAACTTGATTGCAAGTAAGCCATAGCTGAATTCAGATCCACTTTAACTTTACACCAAAGATCAAATCACAACAACATTCAGACTACTCACCTTCAATCCCTATGGCTTTACATAGGAAAGACACGCAGAATAAAATCCAAATAGACACCGAATTAAAAAAACATATACTGAAATTTGTCTATTAGCAAAGTGTAAGCTACTTTCCAGCAGGACCCCCAGAAAATTCCCAGTAAACCCAAAGATTCACTAAACACAGCTAAACATTCAAAGTAAACAGATGTCCACCAAAAGGTACTTACCACCTCCAGTTAGCAATAAAAGAGATTCCTAGATCATTACACTAGAACAAGTTTCTTAGAGAGGTAAGATTCCATAGAAACATGGCACTTTTCCTGTTTAAAAAGGTCACTTACTTACTGCTACATGTTATAAGCGGCAGCATAACTACACACTGACTATTGCTACCCCTTAGCATCTCTGCCACAGCTTACACAGAAAGCAAACAGCACACTGTCATGCGAAAGTCACGCTTATTCAGAACAGGGTAAAATGCTGTGACTGCCAACTGGGGAAAAAAGCCTCACCTGATGCCCTTTGCACGGAGAACGAGGCGCGTCCTCTGGGCGAAGGGGCAGAAGCGCATGCTGTACAGCCGGATCGCCCCCTCGGGCACCGGCCCCGGCGCCGCGCTGCCTGAAGAAAGAACGGAGCCGACCGTTACAGCTGCGATCCGCGCCTCGGCACGAGCCGCCCGCCCAGCTGGTGCTTACCCTTGCCCAAGCTGCGAGAATGATCGCCCGCCATGCCGCCACACCGCACCGCAACGCACTAACTGTGCACCGCCCCGCAACGCGCGGCACTTATCGACGATGCCGGCCCCGCCCCGGGGCGGCCTTTGGATGGGAAGGAACCGCGGCCGCGCAGCCCGTGCTTCCTTCCAACTGAGCCGAGGAGCTTGGCCGAGGTGCGAGGATTCGCATTCCTCTGAACGTCTTTCATAAGCTACCTAAGCTGACCGACAAGCCCCGAAGTAAAACGCCTCCATTCCAGAGGCTCCCCAGAGAGGTGCCCTACGTGGAAATGGCATTTCATAGGCAGCAGCTCCAGCTGAGGGGAGGGACAGCCCCCGCCATCCTGCTGGTGAGCAAATCTGTCACAAATCCGTCTGGGCTGGCAGAGAACGTGGAATTTCCTGAGACTCATTAGAGGATTCACGTTCCCACAGCGGGGAAGCAGGTGACTTTTACTTTGGTCTTGTCACACAAGAGCAGCATTTCTGATGCAATCCCTCCTGCAGGCAAACACTGCCATGGCCGCACACCTGCCAGCACTACCTGCTGGGAAAGAAGAAAGTGATTTTTTGTTGAGTCATTGCTGTTTGGTTATGCAACTAATAAGCAATGCAACAGTGGAAGGGTGTGGTAATTTCCTGCACAACAGACGCCCTTTATCAACAAAATAATTTCTCCCACCCCTGAGGGAACTGTGTGAGGGATCACAACCTACTGTTAGTATGGTTTCAGCAATATTTTGGGTCGTTAAAAAGAGGTTGGAATTTCTTATAGCCATTTAAGACTCCATCAGTCTGATAAACTGTGACCCAGAGAAAGGAAGGTTGAAACCCAAATGTTGCAAGGGCTGCCTGCTGCAATAGGCAGATGCTGTGGAGCCAGGGTGTGAGTGCATGCTGCCGTAGCACAGAGAAGCAATAGCAAAAGTAAGAAGCTGTAACGTCTGCTTAGGAAAGGGAAACATGAGCTTCTAGTGCTAACTGCTTAAAAAGTACTTGGAGATTCCTACTGTGCTGCAGCACTATAAACTGTAAACGTGCAGATAAATGTCGTAACTGTCCTTCCTCCTCTTTCCAGCTGACATTTGCTCCTCAGCCTTCAAAGCTCCAGCATCACTATCTCAGCAACCCAAGAAGAGCTGAGGTGTGGTGTGTGTGAGGGTGAGGGTGTATGCTATGCAGGAGGTGTACCACTATGCAGGAGAAGTGAAGTCATAGGGAAACAGGTACACCTCACCATGAGAAAGGCAGCATACCATTGGAACAAGAGTAGTAATGGCATACCTGGGGCAGGGTGGCCAGGGCAATGAACCTGCAGCCTTTTCCCCAAGGCTGGCTCAGATAGATCTGCAGCCACGATTACCGGGTTAAGAAACTCAGGGCAGACAGAATTCTCACAGGTCAGCAATAGAGATAATAGATAATTGCCCAGGTCAAAGGTAGAATTACCCTTGGGTCAGGAAGAAGACCTGGTCGTGGTCCAGAGAGGTCTTTTAATTACGTGATAATTAAGATTACAAAGAGCAGAACTGCACACCCTTGTATACAAGCTACATTGCTGTAAGTGCGCTGGCCCTTTAAATCCTCCCCACTCATACTCTCGCGCGCGCTCGTTGGTTGGTTGGTTGCTGCAGGTGCGCGAGCCAATCAGCTGTCTGCTTTCATCTTGGTGCGAGGAGCCGTTTCAGCTAATAGCAGCAGCCGTTCTTGTTTCTAGGAGACAGTGTAACAAGATGGCGGCCGCCGGTGAGGAGAGGCGCCAGGGTAGTCCGCAGCGCGGCGCCGAGGCCCTGGGGGGCCGCCGCTGCTCCTCGCCTGAGGAGACCACACTGGAAGTGAGGTGGGGGCCGGCCGGCCGGCACAGTCGATGCCTCTTGCGTCTCACAGCCGAACCCGTCGGCCTCGGCAGGGCGCGTCATGTCTTCTCGCCTGGCCCCGGTCCCTCGTGCTCTAAAGTAGCCCTGTGTGGTTGTCGGACAGGAGTGCAGATAAAGGAGGGGTGCTGCTGTGTTCTAGGTCTGTGTTAGTGTGGCGGGTAGAAGGAAGAGAGAGGGGAAGAAGCGTTGAATAATTGGAACTGAGCTCTTGGTGGATTTGCATTAACCTTGAGTTTTGCTTACCTCCTATAGCAAAGAGATTCTGAAAGGAGTATAGGAGTAAGCAGCTCTGACTAGGTTTATGTTAGAGCCCGATGAGATAATAAGTGAGGCATAACTTGTTTATTCCTGTGTTCCTGTTCTGGCACCTGGTACTGTGAGCCCATATGCTTTGGTCCTGTTTGTGGCTGCTTCCTTTTCCTGTTTTACCCAAATCACATCAACCTCTGAACTTTCCAGAGGTTGCTCTGTACCTCCTATATCACACCATTGTTTCCTGCCATAGCTTTTAATGTTTCTTTTATTTTCAATCCTCAGTCCTCTCAGCAGTGTAAACTTGAATGAATTTTTCATAGTAATCTAGGATGCTTAGGCAGTTTTTTTTGTGTGTGTGTGATTTTTTTTTTTTTTTTTTTTTCTTCCACATAATGGAAGAGATACTTAAGCTTCCTTATCTGGTAAAGTATTTTAGCTGTTTGATCATATTCTATAGCTAGGATGAGACTACCATAATTAGTAGAACTTCAGCTTTAATATATGGTAACTGTCGAGTCTCAGCCTGAACCACTGATTGAGCACCTGGGGAAAGGACCTGGTCAGCCCTGGGAGAAGCAGAGGTGAAGGCAACTCGGCTGTGTGACCAGAAGGGGTGGAGCCTGGCTCCAACTCTCTTAGACCTCGTTTAAGGGCGGACTGCCAGTGGTGTAGGTTCTCTGGTAGGAGATCCTTCATTTGTGGGGTTTTTCCTGTGAGTTTAGGTCTTCAGAGACAGGTAAGTGCTTTCCCTTTTTCTCTGGAGCACCTTTTTATCCTGCTTGTCCCTTTGTCATTATATCTCCTGTATTGCTGTTCCACCATACTGCTCTTTCTGATTGTTATGCTTAAGTGTTCTGATATTTACAGAGTAAAATAATATCAGCTGAAACATGCTGTTCCTATTTCAAGAAAAAATCTTGTGCGAAGTTAGTGTTTGTGTAAAAGGGGCTGGAAAAATGCTCATCAGCTGATATGTCTGTGTTTTGTTGCCATGGTATTCAGTTCATTAGTAAGGATAAAAAGTCAATGTGTCAATCCTCTCTGCCTACATTTATTCTTCCTGTATATAGCAGAAGAGGCAAAGACCTCTTTCAGCCTAACGCTGTTATCTGGAAGATGATAAAAGGTAGGAAGAAATTAGAAGGGATGGTACTACAGTGGTGTTGTACGCAGAGGATGGTAGTATGCTGAGTAAATGTTGCTATGTTCCTATCAAACTAATATGTGGCTCAGTTAGATGTCTTAACTGAGAGCTAAATGCAAGTTCCTGTGATAAGGGGGTGCTGATGTTGATTATCTATGTGCTTTCTCAAAGGTAGAAACTTCTGCAGATAGTTAAGAATTTGCTGACAGTGTAGTTTCATAAGGTGACTGCTCTTCAGTGATTTGCTTCAGTCCCTGTATAGCACAAGCCTGTTTTACATTCCCTTTTCAGGTGTTTTTTTTTTTTGAGAAATGTATGTATGTAACTGTTCTAACACTTACTTTTTCTTAAGTTGGGTTCACGGATTCTCAAACAAGAACTTCGGCTTTATCAACAATCAAACTGTCTGCTACTCCTGTGGCAATTACATCCTCTTCTTGGACATTAAAACAAAGAAGACAACAGCACTGCAGTGTCAGACTGGCCAGGTGGGAGCCTTTGCAGTGAACCCCAACTATGGAGTGCTGGCCTTTTCAGATCGGAAGCTGAATCCTGTCATATATATCTACAGTTTTCCAGAGCTGAATAAACTGACAGAGTTAAAAGGTAGTGGTGTGGTAACTGTCCTTGTCACCATTTCATTAAAACAAAACTTTAAGCAGCCTGTTTCTGAGGGTATTTTGTTTCTGTAAGGCTTGAGAAACTGTGACAGGAAACTTTCTAACGATAAGGAGTGCAGGAAGTAATGTAAGACATTTTCTGCTGCGCTGTTTTTTGTGAGACTCAAGCTAGGCAGGCATATGACAATACAAAATTGAGCTGTTATGAGGAGAAAGCAAATTGAATGAATTTGAATTAATTACAGGAAGGAGTTGTCTGAATAACAAAGAGAAATCATATTGTGCTAGGCTTCCAGGCAGACTGCTGAGGTGGTCTGACATGGAGGCATCTGAGCTGTGAATTATGGTTCTTGTGGTTCAAGTCAGGAGTCTGTGATCTAATGTATGTTTCTTCCTGTTCCGTGTCATTGCCCTCCTTAGTTAATTTGCTTACCATCTCCATGGTTCAGTTTCCCTGCCACTTAAGTGAGGATCATAATGCTTCCTTGCCTCATGTAGATGAATGAAATTAATTGCAAAGGATTGCCTGTTAATTGGGGAAAAAAAGCACTTTGCAATTCAATATATTAGTGAAACAAATGGAAAAAAAAATCCACAACAGTGACATTTTCTGAGTACTTATATGGTCTAATCAAAACAATCTTGTGAAAACAAAGGAATCATAGTGATAAAGAATATCTTTGGAGAGGTGAAGTGGATATAAAAAATAACTGACAGGAGAACTTCAACTCTTACACTATACAGTGAAGTCTGCAGTAATTAGAAATTATGTCTTTATTTTTGTTTTAGGTCACATTCAGTTGGACTACACCTTACTTGCATTTAGTTTCTTGGGTCCATATCTAGCCAGTTACTCTTCATTTCCAGACTTTGTTCTTTCAGTATGGTAAGAATAAAATAACCATCTAATATCACTTGCATTTAATAATGCTTTTGTATGTGTGTTCTCTTAGCATAAATTAAAGTAACAAATTTGAAAGATAAACTTTCATCTCTTTTTTTTTTTTTTTCCTGATGATCACTGTTTGCAAAATTCTGCCATGTTTGCTGGTTTTTTTCTAGTGCTAGTAGTTCATGGCCAGAATGACTGTTACTTTGCCATAGCTGTCCTCTAGCTTCTTAAAAATGTTGTATTTTTGAGTCCTTATGAAGTCTGTAGCACCAGCTAATTATCTGTTCTTCCTTGCTAACTGTGGAAAGAAAGTAGCCAGTTAAAAATTGGAAAAGAATTCTAAAGCTGATTTCTGCTTTTTGTCCCATTCAGTGTTCTTGATTACTTGTAATTACCTAGTTCTGTCTTATCACTGTGCTCAGTGATTACACCATCTTGCATCACTGGGTTAGGTCATTATTCTTATTGTTGCCATGTAGAGAAATATGGTATGGTTGATTAAAAAGAAAGTATTTGTTTGTTTTTTTTTTTTTTAATTGTTCTGTAAACTGTTGCCTCCATGGCCAGCAAGCTTCCACCTACCATTTAGTTTGGGCACTTCTTCAAAACAAATGGGGACACTAGAGTAGGAAGGAGTCAATTAAACACAAATAAGAAATACTCTGTGTAATATCAATGCAATGATGACCTTTTCATTTCTTGTACAACAACTAGAGAAAAAGCAGAAATTCCTATAATTTCAGAATGTTAATTAACAGCTGTAGCTGCTATTACTGATACCTCATCATCCCTTACAAGCAGTAATGTTTGCTGTGAGCTCTGTTCATACAGCGTACATCTGGAAAGTTGTCTGTTTATATCACAGTAGAGACCAAGAGAGACTCTGCCCTGAAGAGCATGCGTGCTAGTCACCCACAGAAATAGCATATATGGATCAGTGAATTCACTGTATGCACTTAAACAAAAATTCACTATCTTGAAAGACTACTTGATACTGCCCCCCAAATGGAAACATTTTGAAGCTTTTAAATGGTTTAAAATAGGGCATTTTCCAAGACCAATGTCAACATTTTTGAGTGAGTGCAAATTTGACTCTCAGCACCTAATTGTTATAAGAGAACCATCCTCAGTGCCTGTCAGAAAGAATTTAGTGGCAAAATAGAATGTCTTTGCAGTCATAAACTTAGAGCTTATAATAACTTGAACAGAGCTGTATGAATTTACTATGTGATCAGGACACTTTTGCAGTTAGGTTGTGTTGTGCATTCGTCACGGGTATTTGTACAGATGAAAGAAATCACTGTTTAGCATCATTAGTGTGATTGCAATATCATGATCATGCAACTCGTATTTTAAGCATATCGTTCAGAATAAGAAGTATAAGATGTGCTTTGACAGTTAACAGTCTCAAAACAGGGAAAGCTTATGGATAACAAAAGCAGCTGCAGCCTTTTGTGTGTGATTTTATCTCTAGATCTTTTTTCTTTTCTGTTTGAAGAAGAGGCTCCATGCCAGATTCTTTTTCATGTGCTATGCTTTTTTTGGATCTTAATAAATTGTCTGCTCTAAGAACATTGGCACTATCTGCTAGATATGAGATGGAAGCTCTCTGAAGATGTCAGTATGCCCTTCTGTTTCTGTTACAGTCAGAGTTGCAACTTTTCTCTTTTTGTAGAGATAATGAGTTAGTGCTTATGTGTGGAAACTACTAATTTTAATCATTGTCTTTGCATGCTAATCAGTATCTAAGAGTAAATTTCTTACAAACCAACACAAGAGGGTTATACTAAATCCATTTACAGCGTTATGCATTATGGTTTTCTTCATCTCAGCAGTAATGACAAATACAAAAGCTATGAATGTCACTTAGATTAACAGTCAGATATGTTGCCTGAGATAATAAGAAACAATTTTAATGATTTTCTTCAAATTATTCTAATCAATTCTTGGACAGCACCTAAAAATGCAAATGAAGCTGAGAACTAATCTGGATAATGGAGGAATATGCAAATTAGAACATGAGACTATAAAGTAGGCTACAGTAGACAAAAGAAAAGGCAATGGAAAGGATATTCCCAGGGTAGCACCAGCTAACACGTAACATCCCACAATTCTGCACTGTTTTCTTCTCTGGTTAGTTAACGCTGCTGTGTGGCACTCACAGTACAAATAGGATGCAACCTAAATAATTCAGTTAGATAATCAAGGGCTGACTGAGTTTTCTAATTGTAAGAATTGTAATACCTTCCAACTGCAGCATTATAATAATTACGGATTAGAAAAGCAAGACTGAGGTCTTTGGTGCTGAAGTGTTTATTGTCTATTCAGTCAGTGACACAAGTAGGAGGAAAACGCATGTCTCCTGCTCTTTTCACAAAAGGAAAGGCTTGGTAATGTTTCTAAAATGCCTGTTTTCATAATTAGTTTACTATTCAATCTCTTTGTAGCAGTACTGATTTTTATATGTGGCTAATTAACCACATCCTTTTAATTTTCAGGAGAACTTGGCTTATTTGACAGCATATTTGTTTTTTTTTGTCAGTGATGTATCTGTTTGTATACCTTGATCTTGAATGTCAGTCAATCACATCCATATATTTATCTTGAGTGATTTAACTTGAGTGAATTTTTTCTGTTACTCTCCTTAATGAAGGAACTGGCAAGAGAATATCCTCCTGTGCAGTGAGTCTCAGCCAGGAGTAGCAGCAACCTCCATGAGTTTTAATCCTATGAACTGGCAGCAGCTCTGTTTTGTTACTGAGAGCTCTGTTACCATCTGGCATATTGAAAGAAATCATGATGAGCATTGTCTTATACAAAAGTAAGTGAAACGCCTTTTAAGTTCAAAGAAAGATTTGGGAATGTGTTATAATGACTAAGACTAGCAACCTGTATCTGTTTGCAAAGAACTTAATCCAGTTTAGTCTGCCTAGCAATTACAATCACTAATTGTTAAAGCACAACCAGTGTGAATCTGTCTAATCAATCAGATGAATTGAGTATATGATTTTGTAGTACTCACGTGACACAGCTTTGCACACAACTGAAAATTATATTAGTCAGCATTTTTGGTAGCTGTCTCTATTAAGAGCTGCCCTATTGCATCAATGTAGTGCCTAGATTGCTCTCCCATTCCTTAAGTGGTAATGTTGAATAGTGAGTGGGAATGTGTATTGCTTTTGTGGCTATGGAACTGCCAAATGTGGGTCAAGTTGCTTTCTAGTAAGCACAATTAAGCAGTTTGTAGCTGCAGTCGCAGATTTTACCAAAAGCAGCATCTGTTTTTGTATGATTTCCAGCTTATGTGGCCAACTTACAGAGAGGGTGGCTCTGTCAATGCAGATCACTGAGAACAGCAAATATAAACGTGCTCTAAAATTTTCTTTGAGGCTGATATGAGAACAGATGGACTAATACGTATTCAAGATGGAAGCCTCAGAGGATGACACAAATACTGTTGCAGTGGCAGCTATTCCACAATTCACAGCAGCATATTTGATCTCATTGACTATGACTAACCAGTATGTTACCACTGATGTGGTTATACGATAAGTATATAAATACTGAAAGTATAGACAAGGCTTTGATTTGAGATATCAAAACAATTTTCAATGCCTTCTGTCACTTAGAGTACACATGAATATAAACCTATATGCTCATTTTTCTACTTCTTATTCCATTGAGTAGTAGTTAGGCCTCCACTGTGAATTAGTTATTTCACATAATACTTTTACCAAATCATAAATGAACATAATTTGTAAGCTGCAGAATCCTTACTTCCTGCTCATGTGCTGATTATCAGAATGTAACAGGGAAATACTGCTATTACTTTTTTCATTGTATCTAAATTTTTTCCAAATAAACATTAAGCTTGAATCGTCATAGCTTATGCAAGGTAGGTGTGTAACATTGTTAATCCAACTGAAAACAGCAACAAGAATGGATAGTTATTTGTCTAAGGCAGTAGGAAAAGACAATGAATTAGTGTGGCAATCCAGTTCTGCCAGATAGGGGCCTCTCTTGAAGCAGAATTGCCATTAGCTGTTAGTGAAACAATGTTTCATGTAGAGTTATTCTGTACAGTGGTTTTCCATTACTGTTGCTGAAATAAACCTTGGTGTCTCTTCTCAAAAAATGTGCTTCCCAGTGTTGTATCAACATATACTATTTGTAATATTTCTCTTCAGATAGTTTATATTGTGTTTTTTTTTTTTTACAGCCCTGTGAAACTCCCTGATGTGCAAGGTTCTCTGAATCATCATAAGGATTTGTTTTTCCCTTATCCTTGTGTTGAAGATCCCTACCATGGCCCTGTTATGCCAGTTTCAGCCATTGCTGGACTGGTAGGAGATGAAGCAGAAACATTTGTGGTAGCTACTCATTTTATCCATTTATTACTCCAAGTCATTATGTTTTTTATCCATTTAGTTGTTAAGAAATTAATTGTAATGTCTGTTTAAACAGGTACAATCCAGGATATAGATTTGTTGTTTCAGAAATGTATTTCAAATATGTTTTGACAGATTCACAAGGCATGCTACTATTGTGCAGTACAGTAAAATACAGACATTTCTGACATGTCCTGGTGTAGCAGTATGTCTGTGCAGTGGAGGTACTGCTCTCTATCCCAGGAGCATTAACAGCATGTCAGCATTTAACTATTCCTGAGCTAATGAGAGCTGTTGAGACCTTGAAAACTTATTCCCATGTTAAACTGATAAAAACCGTCAGGTATCTTTACTTCCCTTTGGGGTTTGTTCTCTTCTTGACTCTGAGAGTGTCTCAAGCTGTGAAAATACTGAAAGCCTTATTCCAAACAGCAGCCTCTGCTTTTGAAACACATTCCCAGTCCACTGGTGGTGCTGGATCTTGACCATTTGCTGTGTTTGTTTGATCATTTACTTGCTAGCCTCCTTAGAGGTATGAAATACTTCAGGAGTTGTCATTTTGTTTGAAATTTACTTTCACTTGACTGTTAACTAGAAACAACTGACACTGTGAAAACACTTAATTTGCAAATCTGGGATTCCCTTTTAGGATTAAGAACATCTGTTTTATGGCTTGTGTTATACATATGATACTGGAACTACACTAGATGATGCAGCATTACATTGTCTTTTTGCTGGGTAAACGTGAGTTCTGTATTATCAGATCAGTATACCACACGTTTATGCAGTAAGCCTTTATTACAAAGCAGAATGCAGAAAAAAATTGCAAGTGGGAAATTATTTTTCCTTACCTCATCCTCTTTTACGTGGCATTTGCAGGGCTTTTTAACTGTGACTGCAGATGTCCTTGGCTTCCAGGCAGACTACATGTCCTTTACTGACTTTGATTACACCTGAGCTACTTATATTTCAAAACACTTAGAACATGGAAAATAAAGATGGAATATGTTCATAAGCATCGTTGCCTTTTTATTCTACCTTACTGCTTCTGATAATATGTACAGCACCTCAACTGCAAAAAATGCTTGGTTCTTTAGCCTGCAGTGTGAGCTGCAGAGAGGGAGAAAGAAACAATATATTAGGCCTGTGAGTATTAAAAGAATTTGTCCTTGTAGCATACTATTCCATTCATCAAGATCAAATACTCCTCTGTGGAATGCTGCAGACAGAGTTCTAAGATTTCAGCGAAGAATTAAGACCTTCTTGTGGTTTCCATCACCGTTTGCATCCCTGTTATTTCCAGCTCTGCTTGTGAATGTATCACAGTCACTGAACTTTTATTTCCTTGGAACTGAACATTCTCTGTATAGTCATAATTTCAGCTTTCTGTGAAAATTTTCTGCCTAGCATTTCAAATGTAGCAGATTTGTGCCATATTTATGATCTATTTCTTGCAAGTTCTTGTGCTTGAACTTGCAGATCTACATTGTTAGCTTTCTCACATGGAAGAAAATGTGCTTTCAGCCATATTAGGTACCTTTATGGGGTCTTTGCATTCCCAACTGCCTCCAGGAAAATCTAGATTTCTTTTTATGGGCTTCCATATAATCATCTTCTCCTTAAGTATAGAAATATTTGTGAAGTAAGAGTAGGTTGATTTAATTCTACTAGTTCTTGACCAAGATTTCCTCTCCTTTCAAATTAGGAGGTATATATTTTGGTATTTATTTACTGTCCAAACACCCTAGGCAGATGGGTATTTTTTGGTTATGAAATATTAGCAAAGTTGTGAACATAAGATATTTTGGAATGATTTTTCAGGAATATGAACTTGTTCTTTTTGTTGTGGTGTATTTTTTCCTGGGTACTAAACCTAGCAAGAGTACTGAGCTGCTATTAGATCTTGTAACCCAACCCCACTAGGCGGGATTGTGCTTTTGGCGAAGCAATTCCTGCTTGATTTGGTCTGAATACAGTTGATACAGAAGTATTGTCTCAAAATATGATTTTTCAAGGTCCTTATGTTGAGAAGTAATTAATACAGTAACATTCAGTGGGACTGAAACTACTGAATTTGCTGAGTTCTTCAGATACCCAGATATCTTCAGACTACAGTTTCTGTAATGGACTTAATGGTAATTATGGCACCTCTACTTTCTGCAGTTTCTCTATAAATTGGCAGGCCCCTGCTGCAGTTACAGGAATGGGTGCTATAACTGATGATTTGTATACTGTTACCAATGTCCATGAACACTTATCTGATTCTGGCCTAAAATGTGCATCTCAACATTTGTTCATACCTTGGGGTTGCTGTCCTCACTATCGTTGTTTAATCTTTTTTAACTGATAAGAGAGCGTGCTCCCCCTGGCTGTGGTTAGTGAGCTGCTTTCAGTTTAGTGCAGTGGGGATAGCATCAGAGCTTGATGAGCCCCTCCCATTTTCCACCACATTCAACAGAAGAATTTGTCTTTATGACTAAATCCAAGCCAGCTGAGGTAAATGTTTTTCATGTTGATATAAGCATCAAAAGTGGAAAGCCATTTATTTACACTAATAAGTAGAGAGATTACTCTCAACTCATAGTCCACGGTTGCTCGGAGGCAGTAGCACACTCCTAAGGAGTGCGTGGCAGTCGTGTAAGAAAAGCAAGTCTGCTGCATGTGCACTTGTTTGCATCTCTGTTAGGGGTCCATGCTTCGGAGCCATTGAGACTAACTGTGTACCACAGTGTAACCACAGTGGGGCAGCAGAGTGAAAGGAATTGAAATATTCAAAATATTTCAATCAATTTTTTCTTCCATTATACTGTTTTAGTTGTGTTTTGATATTTCTTACTGTCAATATATGAGTTTTATGAATTTACTTTGCAATCACTTGACTACTGGCAAATCACAGCTCACTTGAATCCATTGTATCCCCAGTAATGATGTTATTCCTTTGTTTTATTATAATTTCTTTTGTGACAATGGATTTTTTTCTTTGAAGAGCTGTTAATTTTAAAAGAAGTTGTTGAACTTGCAGAAGTTCAACATAAGTCTGCATTATTGTTATGCACCACTGTACCATTGCACAATTGAAGAATTGATCTTGTTTTGAATTTACATAATCTCACCCTAGGATTAACATATTTTACCTACCTTATGTAAAGGCAGTCATGACGGCAGGCATAAGGGGACGTGCAAAGACAGAAGTTGTCTTTGCAGAGGAAGCTTCCGATTCACGGTAGTTCAGTTACATCTTGCCAAAAGATTTGTGCTGTTCAAGCTATGTAAAATGAGGGAAAATGCCTATATTAAATGTTTCTCTGGGTGATGCATAGTTCCATCTTGCTGTAGATTTATTAGTTTGTCCTTTTTTATTATTCAGAATGCTTTGTAGGCATAAATAAAGAGTGAGTTGCCTATCCAGAATTATATAGGAAGTCGTTGGCATATTTTACTAATGAATTCTAGATGCCTATGAATCTCTGTCCTATGCTTTCATCACAAGTGCATCCATATTTTCTCTTTTGATAGAACCTTCAGTGAGACAGCAGGAGAATTTATAGAATTATGGACTCTTCTTTTATTTTATCCATCAGATTCAGTATTGTTCCTCTTCTCCACTTCTGCTCTTTGAATGTTCTTAATGTTCTTACAAGGTGGTGTTTGTTTGTTTGTTTGTTTTTTTTAGTGACTCTGCTTCAATCTGGTTATTTCTATCATGGTATTTATGTAGCTCCTAGCTCCTATTGCTATTGTATCTGAACAGCTCGCAGCCTTTAATAATATTTGGTGGAGAGATACTGTTGTTCCCATTTTATGGATGACAGATTTCAGTTTTGTTTTGGAGAAATGAAATTTCAGGTGTATGGTAGTCTGTGGCAAGGATATTTCTAGATCTAATTTATGCACGATGCAAAGATTAACTGAGCTGTTTTTCAGACTAATTTGGTTATAAGATAAGCTATTTAAACAAAGCGTGTTCTAATTCTACCAAGAATGCAATGTCATAAAATGAAGAAGAAAAAAGCCAACAGGATGTGTCTGCAAAATCAGGCTCTTCTGTAAAGTAGTTTGAAATACGTTTGTCAGGATGAGGTCATATTAGGTAATCATTTAAATTTGGACTCCTAGTGCTATTCTGATGGGAGGGGGGGGGGGGGGAACAATCTAGGAGCTGACTGTTGATTTTCTTTTTTTCATAACTTCATTATTAAGAAACTGGGAGATTACTTAGTTGTAGTGGTACAGTATCTTTGTTAGAGTGGGGGATATACCAGAGGGGATTTCTAAGCCAGAAGGCAAAAGTGCTGGATAATAAATCAAAACAAATTTTACACTTTTAATATGATGAAAATATGATTTGTCATTTACACAAGCTTCTAGGGAGGAATGTATGTTCTAGAATTCTGCCACCAGACATTGGTTTTTCTGGAAGATGTTCATGTTTCTCGTGTTTCCCTTCTCAGTAGAAGGATGACTGAATAAAAAAAGAAGTCAGGCTCTGAAATAATTTCTTGGCCTTGAAATGTTCCTAACTATACAGATATTTGCCAGTTGTTAACTGAACTTGTTTATTTTTGTGCTGAAGCCTAGAAGTGATATTAAGCCTTCATTGCGTCCTACTGCCCATTGTTGGACTGCAACCTCTGACATTTACCTGGGCTGTCAAGAAGGTTATATTTTGGCAATTGATACTATGAAATGCAGTGCTTCAATTATTCAACGAAAACCTCTATCTGGTAAGAAATAGCTGTTGTGTGTTTTATTCGTGTATGGAGGAAGACAGAAAGGACTGTGAAGAGTTTTTTGGCTTTACTCTGTTGTGTAACCTGCAGAAATTGTAATGCTGTACTGGAGAGCTATAAGAGAACCGTTTTCCTTTATTAATAAAGTAAACATGTCAGAATTTCTGTTGATCTTCTAAGCCTTTAGCACCCTTTAATTGGCAGTCATTTTTCTCAGCCAAAAAAAATTTAAAGAGCTCTAAATACGTTAAAACCATTTGATAGAATGAACGATAATTCCAATAACCTATATCTTATTAACAGCTTTATTAGATTAGCTTCATACTACTAATATAGCAACTGTACACGATCCTTTTACAGCTAGTTAAATACAGTAATTTATTTGCTCTTGCAGGGTATATTTTGGGTTCTCCTCCCTTGGTATGTTAGCTAATTTTAGAACATATCTTTGAAGACTCATGTTTAGCATGATGTTGATTAACAACACAACTGAATGTAATATAAAGTTTCTTAATATAATTCTTTGAGATCAGTAGTTACATAAACAATTTCCTAATGAAAAGAAGACTGTAAATACAGTTAGGCTAATGCAGAAGGTATGAACCACAGAGAGCGGGCAGAAGATGCCTCTGGCTTAAAACAAAGCAATTTACTTTTAAATTATTCTAGAAAGCTTGGCACGTCTTGGATTGATTGCAGCTTGCTAAGGTAATTTGTCTCCCTAATGTGTATTCTCTTTTTTTTTTTTTTCATGGGGACATTTGGCATGCTGATGAGTGAACTTTCCTGGCAACAGCAGCCCATTCCATACTTTTTTTTTCTAGAAACCTTGAAGACTCACCCCAACTCTCTGCCATGTGCTGCTCATACAGAGGGCTTCCAAAATGGATAACAGTTAGATGTGGCCAACATAAGCAGTTCTGGCAATGGCAACCTATACTCTGTCGTCCTTTGCAGGGATGGGAGATGTCAGTCCTACTGTGCACATGTAGTTCAATGGTTTGGTCAGATGGTAAAAGGAGCAGTAGAATGTGCTGCTTCTCAGACTAAAAGTGAGCAATATGATGTTGCACACCAACATAGAACTTTTTCTCTAATGAATGCTGACTGAGAGTTAATAGACGGGCTGACAATAACTTCGATTTTTTTCTTTTGCCAATTACATAAATGCTTTTAAAGTGAGGCAAGCATTCCTGACTTTTCCAGAGTACTGTATCTCTTTTCAGTAAAGAAATGCTGCTCATAAATAAATAAATAAATCCAGCATTATTTTTCCACTTTTGAAATTGTCACTTGTAAAGCTCAAGAGCTGCAAGTCATCAACAAGAAAAGATGAGGTGTGACTAGATTTTTTTTGTAGAAAGCAACAAAAATATTTGCCATCTGGACTTTAATTTGGCCTATATGTTCCTCTTTGTGTTGTGTCCTAAGACTCTAACAAATGTCTGTAAGCATATTGTATTGAAGGTTCTACATCATTTAAAGCATTCAATGTTTCTGTTTAGCAGAATACTTAAGTGTGTGTCCAACTTTAAGCACTTCTTTTTACAACTGTCAACTGAACCAGAGAAAGATGGGTCAACAGTTGAGCTGTATGATTTTAGTGGTCTTCTCCAAACGTAATGATTCTATCAGCGTATGAAAGATTGTGCCTGCTCAGTTGTACAAATGACAGAAAGGATTAATATTGGGAAAGAACACACGTTTTTATTTCAATATACTAAACCCCACTTTCTGTTCAGTAGACTGGTATGCAACTGATATTTAGTGGAATATTGACATATAAACAAGGTTAATGAGATAAATTGTTTTTTCTTGTGCAGAACAGGTACGTAAAGTATCGGACATGTTGGACTACATTCGTAGAGAAGTACAGAAAAAGAAAGGTATTTCTATATTCCAATTAAGCTAGTCGATTTTTAGGCAGCACCAGTAATGGCTGAGAGTTATAGTATGTGAGTGTAGTTGGAAGTTGCTGCTTAGATGAGCTCAGATCACCCCTGCCTCTGCAGATTGATGGCAATCATTATTGTGTGTCTGATGAATAACTAATGGGCTTTCAGTTAATACCCAATGAATTGCCTCAGGAAAAACAGTGGCAGTGAAATCATTTCTGTTCCCTACTGGTTAATTTTTATAACTGTAAGAAGTTGTAATTTAGTTGAGTTAGGATTTAGGGGGTTGTTTCAAGCACTTTGAGTTCCATAGTACAAAAAAAATTTATATTTTAGAGGAAGTTCAGCACAAGGCCACAAAGATTAGCACAGAGTTGGAATGCATGACGTAGAAAGATGGGCTGAAAGAACTGTGTTCATCTTGAAGGAAAAGGGGGATTTTGCTATTGTTTCAGCTACCCATTGAAAAGTAGTAGAAAATATGGAACCAGACAGGTAAAGGATATAGTTGACACCAGCAACGTTTCTGGGTAGATAATAGGAAAAGAATAATCAAACTGAAGGTGGTCAGATATTTGGACAGGTTGCCCAAATAAATCATAGGATTTCTTAGTAATATTCAGGCGTCAGCTGGATGTTACTCTGAACAACATGCTCTAGCTTTGAAGTTGTGTCTCAGTTTGAGTTGGCCCTGTGCTGAATGGAGAGGTGGGTGTATCAGAGGACTTCTAGGGTCTGTTCCAGCCTAAATCGTCATATGATTCTCTTACTGACAAACTTAGTATTTATCTTTGTAGCTGTTCTGCAGCATTTACAGAATTAAATGATTTCTCCAATCAGTTTCTAGTTCATCAGGCCACAGTAGTATTGTCGTTTCAAATTATGTATACCCACCTTATCCTTTATTATCATGGCACAAAGGTCAAGAATTACATAGACAGTAGAATATTTTTGCTCTCAAGTAATCAACTCTTCCAGATTTAATGCTGACATGCATTGCTGCAATAAATTAAACTATATTTTGTGTTGGTCTTCTGCTTGTAGGTGGCAAACCAAAGGCCCTGCAAAGAACAGTTGTGTTTACCATGGCAATTTGTAATGAGGGACTGTACACAGCTGGAATTGTAAGGCATCCTTCATGATCTTTACTTACTAATATGATGTCAAAATCAAAGAATATTCATATTGAATACATTTACAGAGTTCTCTTCAAAGACAAGCTAGAAAAAAAAGTGGAGGGTTGCAGAGCTGTAACAATTCTCTCTGGCATAGTGTGTTCCTTTTTAAGGCTTGAGACAAGAAATCCGGAGGGGGCAGGGTAGGAAGAGATTCCACTCTTGTAGTCAAAGTGACAAAAGAAGATAACCTATTTTTAACAAAGAACAGTACTCTAGAGGAACAGAAAAGTAGAGAAAATGGCCAGGAGATTTGTCTGTCTATTTTGTGCAAAATCTACTTCACCTTTTATCCCAAACTCATGATGCCATTGTTCATTACTGCTTAGAAGTAAAACATTCTTATATTGTCTCAAAAAAAAACCCAACAAAATGAAATCTTAAGCATTAACTGATTAGTCCTTTCTTATCAGACATGAACTGTTACTAAGACTTGTATCTTAATAACTAATCTTAATCTCCTCAGTGGATTTGTTATTCAAAGTAAGAATCCTCTGAGTAGAGACGTAATAAAGGCAAACCAGATTGTTAGAGATGATATACTGTTAAAAACTTTAGAGGTTTTTAGTAGTTCTTGCTGTTAAGTTTGCCACTTAGAACTAATGCGGATTTATACTTTTCTGCACAGGAGGGCATTTTATACATGTATCGTATCAGAGATCTCCAGTATGAGATGGAAATCTGCGCTGACATCTCAGAGCCCATATCCACCCTCATATTCTCTCCTGATTACACAATACTTCTGATTATTACTGATCAGGTATAGTATTTGAGATAATAGCAGAACGTATGAGATGTTCCTGTGATGCTATGTGTGTGTTGGTACTGCTAATGTGATTGTGTGAATCTGTGAAACTTCCATAATGCTATCCCACAAGTAAAGCAATTTATACCAACAGTAAACTCTGTCGGTGCAGTGTTTCTAACAAAAGATTGGAAGGATTTTAATGAAGCATAGAACTGTCTTCTACAGATGGTTGATTATAAAGTACAGTTGATTCTTGTAGTAAGACAGAATGGGGTGTTTAAAATCATTTCATTAAAGAAATTTTGAAGAGAAATATTTAGAAAATCTCACTAGCTGAATAACTGTCAAATGATCCTCAGCAAATATAGGTTAATAAAATCTGTAAAACTCATGTGAATTCTATTGGGCACTTTTAAACTAAGTTTAGAAAGAAATAAAAACCTCTAAAGAATTAAGTTAAGGAAAATGGATATTTTTGCTGAAGTGTTTGAAAGCTTTTAATGAGATGTTTCGTAGCACTGTGATGGATCAGTACTTTCTATTTGTCAGGGGACAATCTATTCTTACGAACCTGCCCACAGTGGAGAAGCTGTCAAACTCCCGAATGCATTCAGCAGTTATTTGCTGGCTGCTGATTTCCTTACTCCAGGGGACAAGTACTGTGTGGTAAGAAAAGGCTTTTTTTGTGTATCTGATGGTGAGGTTTTTTAGGGAACCAATATATTGCTAAGGTGCAAAACCAACAGCCTTATGGAGGCTGGGTCTGTATTGATTTTTGCTTCAGTGGTATAAATACCTGTTAAAAGAAGTAAATGGGGTCCAGTCAGGTATGGCCTATAAAAAAGTATAGAAGAAATTTCCTTTGAGTGGAGGGTGGATGCAGATTGCTAAAATGTCATACTGTTTCTGCTGTTGATTTCTGTCAATCACAGTTTGTCTTGAATTCAATTTAGAGAATAGATTTTAAAACAAGGAGTTTCCTACTGATCCTTTCAGCCCTCAGCATAAATTGGAACAGAAAGAGTTGCCCCTACCCTGGGTCCAGAGACAAAGACGACCTTACTAATTGGTCTGTCAATTCTGAAAAACTCCTTGCTTTCATGCTGTCTTTGATTCCTGAAAGACATATTTTAGTAAGTCTGATTCGTCCCCTGGCCATGAATTCTTTGTGTGGGTGGTGTAAGAACATTGGAGTCTTCAGTTTATTGAATCTGTTTCTTTGCTAGCACAGCAATGATGCATTTTATTTGCTTCAGAATAAGTACAGTGAGGATTGATTGGCCTCTGGCAATACTTTTCTGTGAAATTATGAAATTGTCTGTATACAAGCAGATCAACCGTAATTGGTTTTGGCTTTTTTTTTTCGTGTGAGAAAGTGGAGACCTCTTCTTTGGGACTTTCCTGTGTGAAGAAAATTCCAAGTGTTTTTTTTTTTTTTTTTTTACTGCTGACAGAATGTTGAGAGTGCTGATATTGATCCATTTTGCCCTGCGTTGTCTCTTGCTGCTTAAAGGCCATTCCTACACTTGCAGCAATTCACAAAAAATATTAAATATTTTCTTTGCTCTCGCGGCAGCTGTACTTAAAGTAGAAGCCAAATAATTCCAACTGAAACTAGGAACTCCTGATCTGCTACACTGAGAGAGTAGCTAAATTTATATCCTATAGAAAATCAATAGCTACTTCCAGATAATGTGGTTATTCCACCCTCCTCTGATTATGTTTTTTGTCTCTTCAAGTCTGTAACAATTTCAGGTGAAGTAAAAGTTTGGCTTCTGGAAAATGGGACTTGCCTCAGCGTGCTAAACCTTGATATTGAGGTACACACTAACTAGAAGCTTATGTTGTAAGAAATAGTTAAAATTTTCATTTCAATATTTTTGTTTTATACTAAAATATTGCTCAAAATCAGATCAGCCGATTTTGAGAAAAGCTAAATAGAATCAATAAATTTCAATAACAAATGAGGGATTTTATATTTCAGAAGGTTTCCTTGAACTAGACACGAATTTAACTCAGAGAGCAGAAAAGGCATTTCAGCCTGATGTCCTGGTGTTCTGTTTTAAAGAATTCATTTGTAAATAATCTGTGTGGTATTACTTTACTAAATTTGTACTTTTAATGTATGTCAAAATTGACAGGAAATTTTTCAAGTGCATGAAAACTGTCTTGACTGATCTAAGTAAGAAACTTTAAGAAATGGGTTGATTTCAAACTGATAATGTTTTGTCCCAACTTAAGATGTATTCAAGTACTGAAAAATCCTGTGAATTTTTTTTGTGGAATAGATAATTATATTTAGATAAGTAGATATAGAGCAATGAGGAGAAGTGCTTATGATGTCTATTAAAATCCTGCTTTTTAATAATGTAGAGTTAGAGGTAAATCACATTGATTTTATTCTCTGAATTTTAGAGAGTTGTAAATACTAAAAGAAGTTGCATTCTAACTTATAGCATGATGTTCTACAACATGATATGGAGCTTTTAAGTATCTCTTATTTCTCAATTAGGCAACGGCTATGGCTTGCTGTCCCTCTTCAAACAGTGTTGCTGTAGGAACAAAAGGGGGTCAAATCTATTTTATTGACATTACCAAAGTTGAAGCTCCACGGGTTGTTCACAGAATTTTTCTTTCCAGATTTCCAGTACTATCTTTGCAGTAAGTATGCAGTCACAGGGGCAGGAATGGTGTCAAATTATTGCTTGAATAATGCAGTTGAACACAATTTTTGAAGTTTTTGTTCTAAAAATATCGAAGTATTTTAACAGTTTAAATATTTGTTTCAGCAATACTTTTTTTTCTGAATTACTTACAAGAGTACTAGTACCAGGATTTAGATGATAAAAATATAATATTGCATTTTTTAAGGAAAGTTAAGGGAGCACTAAATACATTGATGCATGAGATCCTTTCTGACAGATCACTGTATGGAGTAATTATGTGCAATGTCATCTATCTGGACTTAGAGGGTGATTTGTCAATGAATAAAAATTCAAGGTTTTGTGAAGTTCACTTTAAGCCTTTGAGTCATCCCTTCTTACATGGTCGTTCCTTTTGTTACAATTATTAATAATTCATTTGCTCACAGTTCTTGGATTTATCAATCCTCCTATAAGTATCTTTTGTGACCTAATAGTCTTACTCTTTATTGCTGTTGTTTTTCAATAATCAATATATGTGAGAGTATCTTCATTCTGTCTTAAAAAAAAAAAAAAAAAACAAACAACCCCACAACAAAATGGATTTGAACTGCTAAACATTAATAAACATTAATATAAATCTGCTTGTTGTTTAGGGAGTCAGACAGAATCTCTTTTCACATTTACCTAATGTAAAACACCAGAAATAGATACAGAAAGCAACTTACTAAAGGGAAATCAATGCAAATGTAATCAAAATAATATGAAAATGTGTCCGGTGGTTTTATTTGAAATAATTGAACTTCAGAGGAAGTTGATAAAATAGACTACCTTGGGTACTCTTAGCTTTAGATCAAACACCTGCTCAATTAGTGCACTTGTAGCACTGGCTCTGACTCTGTGAAACTAGAAACTGAAATTTCAGTTGTGTTTATGCCCTCAAGGAAGTCAGCAGCTATGAGGACGGAATTGCAAACAAAATGTTACCCCTTTATTGACTGTATTGAACTGTTTTTGGAGCATAATATTCAAAACTGGATTTTTACTTGGTTTTTTGTTTTCCTTAGTTATGATCAGAGTGGCCAGTTCCTCATCATTAGAGCTGTGGAAGGATATATCTTTATTCTAGATGCTCGGCCTTCAAAATTATTCCAAGTTCTTGGATATGTAGGTAATACATGAAACAACATTAATTACGTCGTATTTTCACTATTTGTTGTGTTTTAAATATACTTGCATGCCACCCTTCTTCAACTACTTAAATTTAAGGAGGACTAATTATAAAAATATTTTTCCTATCAATTTTCAAAACTAATTATGTGCTGGTAAATCTCTTAAGATCTCTTTGGCTGACAGTGTGAGGGATTACACTAATTATTGATAGGTCATGATGTCTGAGTGCAATTTCTTGTTAGAAATGCCCACTACTGACCTCTTTCTCATGGGGACTGCTGGAATTGTTCAGTTTGGTGGTTGAAACTGAATAGTTAAAAATGATGAAATTTTAACTTGCAACAAAAATTGTTCTGTAAACCTATAGGTAGTCTCTCAATTCCAGCAACATACTTACGACTCATATCTGTGCATATAGATTGTCATCTTAAATTAAGTCCAATGGACATTATTTTATGATCTTAATAGGTTTGACTTCCAGGATAATACTTGGAAAGTTCCTATGTTAAGCTGTGTTTAGAATTACATCTCCTTAAATAATCTAAATATGCCTGATAATGTTCTCATTTTCTCGGTGATTTCTTAGAACCAGACATTTCTTTGCTTTATTTGGTGGTTTATCAGCAAATTGCCTCAAACTTGCTGAAACTCAAGCTAGATGTAAACTGAGATTTAAATGTTCAGTTTAACCAAAGCACTTAAGTGCTCATCAGTACTTCTGATATCAAGTTGTGGCTTCTCTGACATCTTAATGCAAATTTGAAACAGTCTTGTTGTGCAGAGCTGTATTCTGAAAAGGGGTCTCCATTTTGTTTCATGTAATATCTCAGTAAAAATAATGTTACCATGATGTAGTAATTTGCTGGTATTTCAGTGTTGGCAGGTGAGGTGCTGAGTCTTTCAGTAGTTTCTGACTTCAAGAACAATGTAGTTGAAGTGATGGTGCTTCTGAATGTAGCAGAGATCCAACAAACAAGGCTGGAAATTTTTTGCCTGTCATCAACACTCATGGAAGGTATGAATTGAAATATATACTTTGTGATGCTTTTATAAGACTAGAATAGATCATTGCCTTTCATTACCCAAAATACTAGCAGTCTTAATCTCTTCCTTCATCTCATCTGTACATTCTTCTGCACCACCACTTCTCTTATGGCTGCCTGGAGACTTAAAGTCATCTGAATTGTTTCAGTAAAAATACTGTGATATTTTGAGCAAAATGCAGGGAAAGAAGGAGGAAAGTATCTTACATGTAGAATCACAGAGCAACCACTTTACTACTACCACTATTGTTATTGTTGTTATTATTACTACCATGTGGAAATTCCCAAAGTCAACCACTAAGAGACCTTGTGCTTGTCGTTACCTACATGCACACGAAGTATATTAAAGTGGAATCTATCCCACCAGCCTCTTCATAGAATTGTAACAGATATATATTAGTTTGTTAAGAACATGTTAAAGGTCAATACTTCTCAAAAAATAATTATTCTGTTCTTATAATTTTTCTATATAGAAGCACCAGGCAGAAATTCCACTGTATTTATAAAATATTAACTTGTAAACCCAGTAAGGAATGTTACAGAGAAACATTCCATGAGAAGCTCTGCACAGTGATGAAAAGGGAAGAAATAAAGAGAATTAAGAATGGTGCACTTCAATTCATCTGCTAAAAATCTGGGCTGTGTATCTGCAGTGTGCAATGTGCATATTGAGATATTAAAGTTAGAATATCTAACTTTAGATAGATTACAAATATTATATGGGGAATGAAGTGAAGGGAACCGGTTTGTGTTTCACTAAATTGGATATTCCACACTAAATTTTCAAATGGTTGTGCTTCGTTTTATATGTGCAATTCTCAACTGTACAATGTCAGTAATTTTTCTGTGCACATCTGTGGTGTTATAACACTTTTAAATGAGTCTTTTTTTTAAAAAGCAAATAGACACAAAATGGACTCAACTGCTGTAAGTGATCATAGAACTTGTAATACTCTAGGAATGCATTGATTTGGGGCGCTTCCTGGAATCAGATGTAAAACTAAATTAATAGCTGTGGAAGGACTTAAATGCTTTAACTTAAATAAGGCACAGAGTAGGTCAGTGTTGCACATGGTGTCCTCATCACACAGCCAGTGCAGGATAGTGCACTAACAGGGGTTGTCAGTGACAGTGTGAAGTTCCACTTTTACATCTCTTCCATCCTTGAATTTCCAAGTGAGCAATATTGCTCGAGGTTTCATTCAAGTCCCTGTCATGTTACAGAGAAAGAGTAGTGCAAACCCATTATTTACATCATTCTACTCTTGTGTCATTTACATTAGATGCTACTGGTGACTAGCAAAGCCTTTTGTGGAGAAAAATGAGCTCTAAGTAAGCCTGATACCAATTATTCTGTTAGATATTTACTATATTTTTACTATAGTATATATTATAATATATACTATATATTATTTATTATTCTGTCTAGTTATTTACAAGTAATTTTGAAAAGGGGTTACAACTCACAATCTTTCTTAGAAGTAATCTTCAATGATAGTGTTTTCTCTAAATATACAACATTAGTTTTTAACCTAACCATAGTCAATTAAATTGGAGTATGATTTTTAAAGTTGCTGTGAATCTACATTTTTTGCATCAGTCTTAATGTCAAATGTCTCGTGAAAGCTCAAATTAAACAATCAAGAAGAATAAAATGCCCTTTTGAAAACAGTGATTTGAGCCTCCGTGCAAACTAATTTGCACTGCTCGTGTAATACCTAAGAAACTGGTTAAATCAGACAAATTTTTACTCACTGTGGCTGAACTGTTGATAGTGCTTATTCACAACTAATACAGCTCTCTTGGTACATCACTGCAGTGCTGTATTTGCACAGTTAGTGTTTGAAGCTACAAATTTTAACTCAGTCTCCTTGAAAATAATTCATGCTTACTCTTTGCTGAGACTGATTGATTTATGGTAGTGGTGGTGATGTCTCTTCCTCTTTATTTTATCAATCTTTTAGGAATTGATAAGTATGCTAACGATCAAGGAATGCTAAATGCTAGTGCTATTAAAAAGGAGCAATATGATCTGGAGTACCCTCTGAGTTCAGCAGTCAAACTGAAGGATAACACTGTTTATGGCTATTGTAGCTGTGCACCTTTCATCTGTAAATACAATCTCTCTAAACAGGTAAATTCCCAAAAGTTGTTTTACTTTGTCATGGTGAAGTATCAGCTAAGAAATCTCATATATGAAGTGAATATATGATAGGGCATTAGCTAAAAAACTTCTCCACACTTAAAGCATCTACTCCATCTTAAATATCAGAAGCCTGGCGTAACAAAGATCTTTGTTTTATGAAAGAAAAAGCCAAATTCTTGTACGTAAAACTCATGCAGCTTACAGGCAAGTGGTAGACAACCCACAGCTATTGTTAGTCTCCTCAAAATGGCATGGATATGTCAATTATTCTTACTGCTGCTAATATTGTTTGGTTGACAGAGCATTTTGGAAGATCCACCAGTATTTATATCAGAAAAAGTAATTCCTACCAATCAGTTTGGATCAGGATTCATCTGTTTGTCACCCAACAGCCGATGGCTGGCTTCAGCTGCAGAGGATGGTGTTTTGTTCATCTATGATACTTCTACCATGGTAGGTGGGAGCAGGCTTTGTTTGCTTTTCACCTGAAAGACCTGTGAGAGCTACTTTATTTCATAGTAAACTCTTTTTCACTTTATATATATAAAGGTGTTTCAGAAAAACTTCTGTTGAACACAAATTGACTCAGCAATTGTTTTTATAATGAATGTGAATATGATCACATCTATTAAATGAGTTTACTGATCTTCAACTCCAACAAAATCCATATACAAAAATTGTTCTTATCTCTAGTCAAAAATTATAAACTTCTGAACTGTAGTATTTTATATACTTCATATTGACACTTCAGATAGACCTTTATCTAAAAATAAAGCAGTATAATTTAGAGCCATTATCCATTAAGAAGTTATATTTGATGAACTGTTTCTGACTTTTCTAGGAGCTACTTGTTCAAAACTATTGTCACTCATATGAAGGAGGGGGAATCAGATCTGTGGTATTTTCACCAGATGGCAAATTCATCCTGGTCAGTGGTGAAAGTGACAGTGCCCTGGTGTGCCTGAAATGGAAGTATGTATAAAGTGGCAGAATAAGATTGATGGTATAAATTCTGGGATCTGGGCAGACTAGTTTTTGCATCTACTTGTGATTCTGAACTTTGTTTTGGTTAGTCTCAAAATAAGGAGAACTGGATTGAGTTGTTTGGTGCAAAAGTCACTCCTTTCAACTGTAGAGGTCTCTGCAACTCATGACATTGTGGAGAACATCTTGCAATTTGAGTGTGGTTGCAGTACAAGATATGAGTATCTTCTGATAAATACACATATTGCGGATGCTGGGCTTCTTGTCACTTTCAAATAAGCCATCTGAAAATTTCTAATTCTGTAGAAACTTCATTTAATTCTTGAACACCAACAGCATTGAATTGTAAGTAAAAACACTGTATAGGTGTGTTTAAGAAAACTTAATAGATGTGTTACAGAGAACATTTTAAAATTTCTCAGTTTTCATAATAAAATTTCACAAAAAATATATCAATTCCTTTATTATTTAATAGGAAGATAAAGGAAATGGAAGTTAAGGAAGCTGATTTGCACTGGCAATCTCTTCTTACTATACTGAACAAGTCTATTTTGGATGAAAATGCTGTTTTAAGATGTATGGCAGGATGGCAGACTGAGTCAGAATCCACATCAGAATCGGTTCCAGAAGAGAAATCTGAGGTATTTTCTTAATTTTGGTGAGAAGAAAACATATGGTCATTATCCTAAAGTTTTATTTAAGTACTGTCTTTAAAAAAAAAAAAAAAAAAAAAAAAAAAAAGAAAAATAAACTATAATCGTTTTATGTTAGTAGAAGAATACCCCTGGCAGGTTGGCTATGGTTAATTATTAATTCATGGAACAGTATTACCAAGAAAATTAAAGTTCATTGAAAGACAACTTTCATCTCTTTGCTTTTATTTGTTGTTTTTCTCATATGAAGTTGTCATTCACAGTGTAATGTTACTGCTATACACTGTTTGCTGTATATTCTTCTGTTGAAATAAAGCAGGGCAGTGATTACAGAGTTTTGTACATTCCATTATAGTCATTCCATTACAGTCAAAACTCTTTGCCTAATAGCATAGATTTGCAAGATCAAATCTAGGAAATGAATATATTAATATCCTCTGGAATTTGGTGGTGGTTCCTTCCAGTGTAAGTGATTTATTTATTCATTTTCATTTCTTGTTCTCTTTCCTTCCATCTAAGTACTTGGGATGAATTTTTATATCTTTGTTTCCAGAAGTCACCACTTGAACCTTCCAGTGCAGCTGTGACAGAAGATGGAAACCTTGGAAATTTGCATTCAGACAGTACTAGTGAAATGACCTGGTTATGTCAGAAAATAGAGAAGGTATTTTCATACCAAAGATTTCAAAAGCCAGTAGCCATTTTAGGTGCTGAATTATATGCTGTAGATGTATGTAGTTTCTAAAAATGTAAGGGTATTTTTAAGGTGTTTTAAGGCAGAACCTGAAAAACAGGAGCTTTAAAGACCAAAGGAGCATTTCTACCCATGGAGCAGACTTGATAACTAGAAAACTTTCTCCCTTTAGAAACCTATGAAGACATTTACTTCCAAAAGTGTCAAAACGTTGCATAGAAGATTGGTACGAGAAACCAGGAAGGTGTTCTCTTCTTCTCAGGGGCCATAATAACAAATTCTACAACACTATTAAACTAATAGTCAACAATATGACATCAATTGCTAAAAAAACCACTGGGATTTATTTCAGGTTAAAGGTGAAGTAAGGATGTTATGTAGCCAAAGTAAAAATGCATGAAGTATCAGTTTGTAGAGAGGGGATTAAATGCTTTGAGAGCCTGTATTAAGTATAGATTTTTTGTTTATTCAGAAATATGAATTTATGGATTCTAGGAGGTTGTTTATGACATGAACAAGAGCAGTGAGTTTTGTCCAGCTTTTGGGGCTGATTGTATCACAATTTGGGAGGTCATTTCTGAGATACAATTTCACAAGTGGCTGATATGAATGCACCTGCCACTGAAAGTAGAATCTTCTCCATCCCACTCCCAAGTGTGCATTCTTGTTTCTTCTTAGATGTTGCCACTCATGTTTTGGTTTCTGCATTATAAATTTTCATGACAGGTCGTGACTGTCCATCCACAAAACTTCCATGTATAATTATTTTCCAGGTACAGGTGATAAGAAGCAAAGTTTAATGGTCCTAGATTGGTGTAAGATGCTTGTTAATGATTTAGGAAATTTGCATCTGACTTAGAGGATGGGCTCCATCCAGTGTAAGAATCATACTCCGGTTTCATGCAATCAGTAGCCACCATCTTACATAAAGCTGTAAAACTATTCTAGAAAGCAAATTCTAGAGTTGGAGAGCAATTGTGTAATTTTCTCTAAGAGATGAATCAAAGAACACTGTAGCAGCAAACAAAATTTCTCTGCTTTGGGAACAAGTAGCAGGTGTTAATGTACTTTAGTTTTTATATATCCCACTGAAAGTGCTTAGTGATAATGAAAAATCTAAGGAATGTACCACAGCTAACAAGTTCTGGGAGTAGGCTTTACCCAGTTCAGTGTGCCTGTAATCATTTCACTTGTGCTTACTTTCTTCTTATGTATTTTAAGCTCTGTTGTTTGCAATGTAACCTGGTTGTACAGTTTTTCTCTTGAGCAATTCTAAGAGACATCCTCTGAATTAGTATTATGTCTCTTTCACTTATTTCCCTCTGGCTTTTTCTTTTCTGTACAGATAATGTTCCTTTAGATTGTTTCAATGGTTTTTTTTTCTTCTCTTTTTTGTCTTTCAACAATATATTTGTATGTTAGGTCATTAAGGAAGAGTCTGAAAGGTTTGCCAACCAGAAGAAAGAGATTCAAATGGGAATTAAGAAGCTGCATAAAACTGTGAGTTTTTAAAAGGGTGATGACTTCCTTACCAATTCTTTTGATTTGTTGTGTTTATTTTAGTAACTTGACACAAATCACCTGTTTTCCACCAATTTGTTGTTGTTCTTTTATTTTTATTTTTTAAGACCACTTATTTTAAGGCTACCAGCTCCAGAGCTCTGTTACGGTCCAGACATTTGAATTATCTCTAAGGATGGAGACTCTATGAGCTCTCTCAGCAATCCATTGCAGTATTCCATCACCCTCATAGGAAAAAAAAAAAAAATGCTCAGAACCTCTCGTGTTTCGATTTGTGCCCATTGTCTCTTGTCCTGTCACTAGATACCACTGACAAGTCTATATTTATGTTTATAATGTATTTATATATACTGATAAGATCAATTCCTCCCACCTGTTTCCCAAATCTACTTCTTTCTAGTAGTGATTGATGACTGTGTTGAAAAAGAGTGTTTTGTGAGCATTTGCTCAACAACTATCTGATAGAACTCTTTGCATCTGTTCTAGTTTCCACAGAAATAAATAGGAGGCATTACTTAACTAAAATCATTTTCTCTGATAGTAAGTTTTGTAGTTAAAAATAGCATCTCATCTATTCACGTTCAATTAATTTTTTTCTTATGCTTATTTTATACATAAGATCCAGAAAATGATGCATGAAAATGAACAGGTGCCAGATATTGAGAAACTGGGACAGCAGGAGTTCAACCTGGATATGGAAGAGCAGGAAAAAGCACAAGCAGAGGCTGAAAGAGAAGTGGCCAGGGTATGATAGAAGAGTGGGGACAGGGTGCAGTGGGGGAATGTTTTAAAACCAGTAATGAAAATTAAAAGGAATAATTGAAGAGCAAAGAGTGGTCTTAAAATTGCTGTTCACTGCTGAGTAGAAGGAAAAAAAAAAAAGAGTATTTAAATCACTTACTGAAGTAGATAAAAATGTTTATCCAGACACTGCTAACTGGAATATGATCTATGCCAGTAATTGTAGTTCTAACACTGTGTCCTTGGGAACATTGCTTAAGTTTTTTAAATTATTCCTGTCAGTATCATGTGATACAAGTTTTTTGGAAAAGGTAGCTGTGATGGTAGTATGAAGTATTAGTAATTCTTTTGATGTGTTTATTTCACTAACTTGATACAAATCACCTGTTTTGCACCACATCTTGTAATTCTGTTCTTCATCTTGAAAGATAAGGGAGAAGATTGAAATGGAGATCTTAGCTAATTGCTACTTGCAGGATGTCATCAAACATGAGTGCTGGGATTCCATGTGTGTAAAAGGACGGGCAGTTAAGGTAACCTCTGGTTTCTACCTAATTTTCTGCACTAGTTTATTCATTCCTTTAGGTGAGAGACAAACTAAATAGCTGTATGACACCTGTCTAGTTTACATGTAGTGTGGGAAAGAACTTCTTCCTGGGGCTTGTGCAAATTTTTCATTATCTCTTTGTCTGAGCCTAGCTGATTTTATCTTCCAGGGTTGATAAGAGCGCTGATAAGCAAATTACTCCTTAATTCCTTGATCTCAAAGAATATTCTTGTATGGTTTTGCTAAAGGTTTAGTAAATATTATTTTTCTCTGTGTAGTTGGTATGGCTTCTACTACGCAGAACATAACAGCAGAATTTAGCACTATTTTTGTCACTTTTGAGCAGCGGGACATTGATTATACTGAATTATCAAAACAGTGGTGGAAGACCAAGTCATTTTACAAAAATCAAATTCTGGTAGAATTCCTTGGATAAAGAGGCTGTATCCATAAATTATTGAAGGGAGGTAAGAAAAAAATAAAATTTTAAATTTAAGTCAAACATTGTCAGTACCAAAAAGGCAAGTGGTTTTTGTCTTTTTTTGCCATGTCTGTTATTTTATTCCAGATTTTTAAGAAGTCATTGCAACTGTTTAGCATGCATGTATTAAACAAATTAATTAATGGGTACTTTATGAAGACCTTTCTACTTTGCTTTTTGTTTTGTTTTGTTTTCGTTTGAGCAGTGTTTCCGTATAGCTTGTGAAGTGAAGAATTATCCCCTGAAGAAACGCGATGAAGAAGAGCTGAGAACTTTGGAGAAAGTTCTGCACTTAAGGAAGTTAGAAGCAGCTAATCTTAAGGTTACAGTCTCTTCATATAATCACAGAATTGCAGGGGTTGGAAGGGGACCTCTGGAGATCTAGACCAACCTCTCTGCTCAAGCAGGATCCCTAGAGTAGATTACACAGGGAAGTGTCCAGGTGTGTTTTGAACGTCTCCTTTGAAGACTACGCAACCTCTCTGGGCAGCATTTCAAATCGGGATGTTCTGAACAGGTGTTTTAATTGTTCTTTACAGGGACACGTTTCTTGCTGTAAAAATTGTCCAAGTAAAAATAAAAAGATATGGAAAGATGAAATGTGGATTTTACTCAGAACAAATGTATCAATATTACAGAATTGTGGAGTAGTTGAATTTGGAAGAGCCCTCTGGCAGTCATCTGCTTCAAGCAGCTTGCTCTGGGTCATGTCCATTCAAGTTTGGAGTATCTCCAAACATGGTTTATTCGTAACCTTCATGAGCAACTTGTTTCCGTGTTTGACAACACTTACTTTAGAAATGTTTTCTTGTATTTAAATTAGGTTTACTATATTTTTGATGTGCAACCGTTTTCCCTTAACCTGTCAGTGGATACTGAGAGAAGTCCAGCTCTGTTGTCTTAGTTCCCCACTGTCAGGTTTTTATACTCATCAGTAAGATTTCCCCTGAATCTTCTTCTTGAGGCTTCATAATCCCAGCTCTCTCTGTTTCTCCTCATATGCTTGGTACTTCAAATTCTTAATTGGGTATGTGGCTCTTCACTGAATTTGCTCCAATACGCCTTTGTGCTGCAGAACCCCACAACTGGGACCAAGTATTCTAGATATGATCATTATGACTTATTTTGATTTCTGGGCAAAGTTTAATTGCTGAATATGACCTCTAGAACATTTTTACGCAACTACCACAGAATTGTGTGCAAAATGAAACAGTTTTATTTTTGTAATATTCAGGTTCAGAAAAAAGTTCTTGAGACTAAATCTGAGGCTGTATTATTTGAAGAAGAAGAGAATACAGGAGAAGTCATGGCTGGTGATACTGCATCTTGCTGCCTGGATGGAAGTCTGAGTTCTCAGTATGGTGCAGACACATCTATACTTTACCACCAATTGGACTTGCACTCCAGGGAGCAGAAAGTCAATCAGATAGTATTACTGAAGGTGACTATAAATTTGTGTTACTGCAGCGACACTGTAATATCTGTTGGTCCACATAGAGGTCACAGCCACTGTTAGATTCTGGGCGTAATTATACTGCACAATGGAGTGTTGCATAGAACTCTGATCATGAAAGCTGGTAATTGCTCATAATGTAGTAGAAGCTCATCATTTCATAGATTTCATAGAATGGCTTAGGATGGAATGGGAACTAAGACCCATGTATTTCCAATACCTTTGACATAGGCAGAGTTGCCACCTGCCATATCACAGTGCTCAGGGCTCTGTATGATCTGCCTTGAATGCTTGTAGGGATGTGGCATCCACAGCTTATCTGGGCAACTTCTTTCTGTGCTTTACCATCCTCTGAGTAAAATCTGGGATTGTCTCAACCCAAGTGCAACACCTTGCACTTGGCTTCCATGGGCCCACTGTCATGCCTCTGACATCCATTCCTTCTATTGTGTCAACTCAGCTTAGTGTGGACTTGCCAGCTTAAGTCTGGAAGAAAAATGTTTGTACAAAACTGGTAATCCAATTTGAGGGTCTTTGTAGTTGTTCTCTAGGTTAAGAGTTTGTATAGATGAAGCTAGCTTGCACATCTCAGCGTGCTCTCTTAAAACTTGTCCTCTTTACCTATTACATGCTGCTGATCTAAAGATGGGGTGAATACTTAAAACATTTCTTTTCAAACTTACCATGCCTTCATTAGGAGCATTTAATGTTTGTTATTTATTATTCATAACATGAGATTCTCCTACTACTTATACCCTAGCCCCAGTGCCTTTAGTGATAAACATGATAAAAAATTGTTTTCTAGTGATGATAATTTACAAAGGTAGAAATGGTTAAACTAGCATTAAGCCCTGCCTCCTTAGAGCTCTTTGAGGCTGTTAATGCGAGCAGACGTTAGTGATTATGCATTATAATATATGAAATCTGGTAGATATACTGATGTTTGAAGTAGTTGAGGGAGAAACACGTGGAACACTTATCTTTTGAATATAAGCTGGGATTTAACAAGGTGATTTTACTGTGTGGCTTTCAGGATGCATATTTTATCTCTGATTGTAGAAGCACTTCAGTGAGCTTCGTGAGTGACAGATGGCTGGCTAGGTATTGAGCAGAACCTTTTTTCTCCTCTCAACATTGTACCCTATCTGCCATCCTTCCTTATTACATCCTAACTCATTACTGTATTAGCAGTCAATTAAAAAATCCTGAACACACATTTATTGTAATAGAAATTGTAGACATGTCAGCAACTCAAAATATAAAGCTTGATGATAGGACTGAAATTCTTTTTGTTTCAGTTTAGTAAATTGATGCAGCAGGAGAGACACGCAATTTTCCTTCTTTATATTGTTCTTTTCTTTGCTGAGTTCAATTGCTTAGGGTAAAGGAAGGATTTGTCTATTAAGGATGTATGCTTAAAAAATCACTTAATTAAAGATGTCATGCAGAAAATCACATTAACACATATCAAAATTACAAGCTACAATCCTTAAAAATCAGAAAAGTGTATACTTAATTCTGCTCCTTCACCTGTGTTTTACAGTCTTTAGAATTGTGTAATTTTTTACTTTGAAGCACCTTCCTTCAGACAAAGACTGCAAAAAATGGCAAGAAGGCAGCCTAATTTTTTTTTTATTTTGTTTCTTTCAGAATCTTTGTTAAATGGTAAATACATAGTAGAGAAGGAATAAAAATTTCTAGGAAAAAAAAAAGAAATAGTAATTTGCCCACTTAACAAAGCTTGAACTCTGCAACTCTGCCCTTATAACAAGGAAGAATTAACAAGCTTCCCTGTCACACATGCAAATACAGACACCTATGATTCCAAAGCAGTATTTATGGAAGAATAGGACCTGTGCAGCATTGCTGTTCCTTTTTTTTTTTTTTTTTTTTTTTCTTCTTTTTTTCCAGGACATCATATATAAAGTGAAAACTGCTTTTAATAAGGAATTTGACATAGTTGCTCAACAAAAGGAGCAGGAGATAGCACGAATTAAAGAAAGAAACATAAGGATCCGAGAAATCTTGGGACAACTTGACCTCCAAGTGGAAGTGTGGGAGCCAGGTCTTACATGTGATGAGAAACCAGACCAGGTGTTTACTGTTCAGGATTCAGAGGTATCTGAAAAATAAAACTTTCACATTCACCTACACGAAAACAGTTATCTGATTCTTTTTGTTTCTAGCCATTGTTTGTACTGAAAAGCATTAGAACAGATTGTGTCTGTGTACTTAAAATCACCCATCTGGCTCTTCTTCTTTTGTTCCCCTGCCTTCCCTTTCCTAAATTTTAAAGTAGAAAGCCCCTAATAAGTCACTATGGAGTGAACAAAATACTGAATTAAGCTTTTAATCAGTCATAAGTGATGGTAGAATTTATCCTCGTTCTTGGTTAAAAGATTTGAACCAGTCTGGCAGCAATATATAAGTATAGGTGAGAGTTTCCCTGATTTTTTTTCAGTCTCTGAGCTCAGCTTCTGGGCACTTCAGCACAGTTAGTGTTGTACTTCTACATAAAACTGATTATATATGAATAAATAATTGCTCAAAACGTGACTAACATTAGCTAAAATGATGTAGTTCATATTTTAACATTTTTGGGGCTAAAATATGCTTTTCATAGCTATTTCATAGCTTTTGGAGCTGTTCTAGAGAACAGTTTTGTTCTTGATGTATATTATCATAGAGCAGGACTTAAAAATGTGAATATTAAAAATTATTACACTGTTTTTCCAAATGTTTTTGTCCATGTATGATAATGTTCAAAGAAAATGTTTGGAACTCTGACAAAGACATGATTTCCTACTTTCAGATTAAAGCTGAAAAATACTTGACTCCACAAGAGAGAGAGAAAGCAGAAATGCTGACCAGACTTGAAATGGAAAGACACCTTGCTTCTCTGGTACTTAAAGTAGCATCCGTTGTACTGAGCAGGCCACTGTTACTCATTTGTCTTATTTAATACTGTACTGGAATACACCACCAATGTAGTACAGGATGTACAAATGTAAAAATGCTAAGTAATAATGAAATAGGCCTTTTCTGCTTATTTTCATTTACTCTCAGGTTACACAGACCAGCTGGGTGAAGAAAAGATTTGGTGTTATGCTTTCAGTTATTAAAAATTTGCTTAGTAGCAGTGCAAAGCACCATATTGGGAGACGTGGGACTAGAAACATCTCTAAATGTATGCTGCTGTTTAGTCAAGAGCTCTGGGCTTAGTATGGCATGGTTGAGATTCTGACTTTTCTTCAGAGTTTGCTATATGATCATAATGCTTTCCTCTGGCTTTAAAATACATCTGTGAAAAGCCTAAGATGGTTTCAGCCCCCTAAAGGATGGACAGTAAGATGGTGGCACTACAGCTTCCTTCATCCTTGCCTGCCAACTGGGCAGGAGTAATCTATGCATATGTACTATTTCTAAAGCTGCCAAAACTGCAGTTTTAGTTATTTGGGATATTATCACCAGGAGAAATTCTGACACTTCTAGTGTATTTCATACACACCTGCAAAGAGCATTAATAGTGACACATTCAAAACCTATTTATGTTCTAGAGGTGAACTGCACTATTATAATTCCCAGAACTTGTAGCTAATACACTTACTGTGCATTCTTTAAATATACATATTTTTCATTTTTCCCAGGACAGTGAAAGACAGCGTGCTCTCAATGACATGATGGGTGGAGTTCTAGAAGTCACGCAGGAAGATATCTTGAAAATTGTGAGCTGTGTTTCTGCCACATCATTTGGACAGCTTGTCAATTTCTGAGTACATGTGAATTTCAACCAGCAAGTATTTCCACTCTGAGTAATAAAAGAAGTTCAGAGAATTGTAGAATTGTGTTATGCCTAGATAAATTCCAGAAGAGGTCGTATAGTAGCCTCAAGTATGCATGACTGCTGCACGCATTTGGTCAAAAACACCTGTTCTATCACAGTGGAACATTGTAAAAATGTAATCTAGTATTGTCACTGTAACAACTGTTTTTTGAGGGGGACTATTACCCAGGGCTATTATCCATGACTGCAGTCTTACCACATTCCATTTAACTCAGCAAGGAAAGTTACTAGATCTGTAAAGGAAGGAAAGATTGTGAAGGAGTGTCACAGAAAGCATAAAGGGTGGACTCGTGCTGTGTTCCTAGGATTGATCTCTTTCACAAAATTAGCACTGTTCTTAGAGGTGCAGTTGGAATTGGGAATGTGTACAGAAAACATACATCTTGTACTGACAAATAGTATATTTGAGCATGCCATACTTGTACTGTACAAGATCCACTAGAAAATCCCTGTAAGTAACTGGTAAAAAACTCAATCATATATATGCACAAAAAGCAACAGACCAGAGAAATGGAACATTCATGTTACTTACGGTTTGAAGCATAGCTACCGATACTACCTTTGGTTAAAATTGATGTGTATTCTTTCTTAGTGTGCTGAAGGAGACTTAATACTGCTTCTGAAGCATATTTTTCTTTAATGCTTTCAGGATATTCCTCCACCTTATTTTATATCCAAGCCTGAAGATGAATGGAATGATCAAGAAAAGAAAATATTCAGAAAATACGAGGAAAAAGTTAAAGAGCTGAATGAAGAAAAAGAAAAGTATAGAAAGGTAAATTAAAATGAGAGAAGGAGTGGTTTTGTTAATGAGCAACATTTCTGATTTTTGTCAGGATCTATTTCTAAAATGGTACCAATAAATAGAACAAATGAAGAACAAGTGAATAACAAAGATCATGTGATGTATTAAGTTATAGCTTAAACAGTAAAAAGGCAGTCTGTACTCATAACAACTTGTATGTACCAGGACTAATGATAGTTGACAAAAGATACTTTTCATTTCCAAATATACCAGTATTCCTAAAATGCTTTTTTTTCATGTTGCATTCCTGGAGTTGGTGATGCCATACACAAATAATGTCATTTCACCTTTGAAGTGGCATTTCACAAAGCAAACAAACAAAAACAAAAAACAAAAAACAAAAACACCCTATGTAGCCTGGCAGTACTTTCCTTTCAAGATGGAAATTAATAGCTTCATTCCCTTGGACAGCTCTCATTATTTTTAGGACAGATTTAAATAAATTTTACCACAGTCATCAAAATACTACTTCCAGAATGTAGCTGTTGTTTAAATAAGATAAAATACAGAATCTTAGCGTTTTTAGCTAAAAAATAGCTGTTTAGAGTCATTAGGAGGAATACAAAGTTGTATTTTGATTTAAAAAAAAACAATTAACTTACACACCTCAGCTGCAGTGAAAGGGAGGGAAAATATCTTTTTAACTCTTTAAAAAAATGAGAACAATTTTTAAAAATGGCCATACTTTGAAGGTAAATTAAAAAAATACATATTTCAGTACTCTGATTTGGTTAATTTCAGGGCTATTCTGTTTACTGTTTATGCATTAGTGATATTGGATGGCTCTGGAGCACTTCAGGGCTTTAAAATCTTATGAGAAGAAAACCTTTATATTGGAGAGGTGCTGTTCTATACTATGCATTCTCCAGCATCCCTCAGCATACTGTATCAGAGTTTGTTCTTACAGATGAAACATTTGTTCTTCTTCTGTCCTTCTCTTCCCCAGGTACTGAAAAATGAATGGGAGGAACTCGAAGCTTCCATCCAGGAAACAACACAAAACTTTGATAAGAATGTGTGCAAACTTTTTGAAAAGAAAGTGAACTTAGAGAAGGTCATCTATCAGGTATGGCAGAGAACATTAGTTTTTCATCTATACCTCTGTGCAGCAGAAACGTTAATTTTTATTACCATCTTTTCACAGGAAGAACTCAAAATCGTCAATCTCATTTATTCTTTAATGTTGGATGAGGAGTTGGACAGTAGAAAAGCTGGACTTTGTCATTTCCTGGTAAAGAAGCAGAAAGAGAAAGTAAGTTATCATTTGGAATGCTTAGGAAATACATGTAATTGCTGTACAATTTCTTCTGAAAACTGTTCTTTCCAAATCACAATTTTGCTATGAATGATTTTCTGACAATTTTCAGAGCAGTTGACACTTTCTTAAGATGGGCATAAGACATGGATTATGAACATGTATGGTTTTGAGTAGATAGCTATCTTTGTTCATCTGGCATTCTTTAGTAAAGCTGCATACATTGAGAATGGCATGCTGCTGTTTGTTTGTTATACACAGTAGTTTTTAGTATCCAGTATCAAGCTGACAGGACCAGTAACGATGCCATTTACATTAGAAAAATGCACACAAAGAATGCTTAGAGGAATCACACTTCTTGCTGGCTTGGCTAATGTAGTCCAGGGCCATGTGACTCGTATTTGCCAGTTCAAAGCATAAGTAGAGGTAGCATGGGTATCTGACTGTTGAAGCAGAACACAGACAGTGTATAAAGTGGTTTTAGACTTGTCAGTGAATTTCATCTCCTGAAGAGTTTGCCAGTCCTTGCCAGACCATATACCAGTCAACAAAAAGACTGGGGAGCACAAGTAGTAGATTTGGATTTCAATACTACAAGCGTTTGCTGCCCACAGTACTGCTTTTGTCTGACACTTGTGATTTCTATTTCTTGCCAAACCCATCTGACTCATGGGGTCTAAGCAGTAGTCTGCAGTTTGCTTCTGTCCCATGAGACAATGTTATCCCATTTGCCCACTTTGTGGAGGCGTTCCTGAGACCACACTGCCTCCCCATGTCAAACCTCTAACTCATTCTGTACAGATCTCTTTGATTTCAGCTGCAGGCAGCTGTTTTTATGCCAGCTATAGGGACTGGCTCCAAAGTAGACATCCAGCCCCCTGCCACTGAATAGGATGAACTAGTTTTAAAATCATGTGAAGCAAAGGGTATACCAAGTTACATTTTTCAAAATACATCTTACGTTTAAAGTCTTTCTAAATATTGCCATTGCCATATCTTTTCATTTATGCGAACTGTCAAATGCAACAAAGCAAAGTACAAACACTTAAACAGCCTTGATTAAACAATTGAGCTTTCAAACAGGGCATTCAAACAGGGCAATAGCATTCCAGAATCAAAATCTTCCACTGAACAGTGTTTAAGAATTTTTGACCAATCTTAGCTGGGATTACATGAAAGGAAAAGGAAATATCTATACATCTAAGGATCTAAAGGAAATATCTATATATCTAAGAAAGAAGGAATATCATCAGTAGTCTTTATATTCAAAATATAAAAAGAAGACTTAAAATACACAATTTTCTTATTTGTGGAATATTTGAATTTCGTATCAGTTCACCTTCAACCTGTATCCACAAATAACTTTCTGAAGGAGGCATTATATGGCTCTTAAAAATGGCTCATAAAGCTTTCTCTAGAATTGAGAAGGTGTCAGTTTTATCAGTACTTCTGCTGGCTGAGTTTCATTCTTGAAATTCTCTGGTTTTCCTACAGGTCAAGATTGCAAGAACAGTGGAGACTACAAGAAAGAAAATTGATTTTTACACAGAGCAATATGATAATGCAGTAGCTGAAGATAAGGTGAGGCTCCAGATAAGCACAGGCAGATTCAGGAGTAAAATAGTTATTGCTGTGTCTTGGTAATGAGAAGAACATGCTGTATTTTAAGTGTGGTATGAGTCCAGTTTTCTAAGCATGCTTTTCCAGAGGAAATCTAGACCACTTATGAAAGTTTTATATGCATATATTTTCCATCAGTACTTAATTTCAGTCATTAACGAAGTAAACTAAGATAGGAACAAGTTGCTGCTTTTTAAAAAATCGCATTGTGATGACCAGGAAGCTTTCTGTTTCCCTCCTAGAATCTGGAATATGGCTTTAGGAAGAATTTTGCTGATGTTCCTGCTAATCTTCTTGATGAACTTTCGGAACTTTACAAATGTCACCCAAGGTAGGAATAAATAACCCTGATCAAAATAGTTCAAATACTAATATTTCAAAAATAAGATTTGGATTACTGAAATAATTAGCAATTATTGTGGTAATCAGTAGATTGCCTTCTTTTTATTAGATGGTTAGCAATAGTTGATTTCCTATCATACTAACAATTGTTATTTTGAGTATGTATATTTCCTGGTTTACACCACAAAATACATTTAAAATGCAATCTAAATAATCATCAGTTCTCATAAACATTCTTATTTTGTGTAAGATATAGTTCTACCTTTTTTTTCTTTGCAAGAAATTAAGAGTATGAAATATTCATAGTTGTATGTTGTATTCTTTCATGTAAGAATAAAAGTAAATACTGTATGTACTGTGTATGTACACTAGGACTGTAATGACAGAAATCTCTCTGGACACTGCAACCTATTCCAGAAGTTCTTCAATGTCAGCTGAAGATTACAAAGATGAACTCACCCGTTTAATGAAAGCCATGGATGAACTGGATAATCCTGAGCACATGCCTAATGGCTTAGACCCATCTATATGGGAAAGTTTTTGTCTAGCTAGACGAAATAAATTAAAGAGTGAGCAGCTGGTATGTAAATGCTTTATTTTGCCACTATATTTTTCAAAGTATATACTGAAAATTTCTGTGGAGTTCAAAAATAATGCTAGGCTGGTGGGGAAGTGAATAGGCCGCATAAATAAACTGCACCTAATTGGGTTGGTTATGTCTGGCCACTTTCTATTCAGAATAACAGAAGTGTCAACAAAATAAACCAGCTCTAGTTCTTCAGAGCAAACATTACCATATTAACATGAGAGCATTTGATAGGGATATTTGTGACCTTGGTATGATTTCATTTTAAAACATTTCTATCTTCATGTTAAAAAAACTATTAAGTGATTTCATTTTCATAATCTTTTAGAGTCTTTCTCTTCCGTTAGCACGCCATGTCTGCACCAATGCATAACCACTGCTAAAGCATCAGGAGCAATTCTTAATGGAGACTGTTTCTGCAAAGCTCTAGTGGACTATTTGTTTAGCTTAAAAGCATAGAAGTGGCAATCTCTTATCTCCAGAGACAGATCTGACGAGACAGAATAAATTATTTTCTGATCAGAACGTAGGACTCTGAGCCAGCATATTTATACATACGTGTGTCTTCTTCAGATCTTTTCTCTTCTTGCTTATCCTGACAAACGTATGAAGTGGGGAAATTTTAGAATGTTATATGTCGCTTGTTCAGGTGAAATGGATGGCCCTAATTCTGGCAGAAATTGAGGTCTTTCTCCAAAGAAGAATAGATGACAATGAGAAGATGAGCTCAAAAATAGAAAAAATTTTCCAAGAACTCACTTGGTAATTTTGTTTCTTTTCTATATTCAGCTACATTTTGATATTCCAGCATCACAGTCACATGCAGAATTACACAGCTGTGTTCTTTTATCTAGAAGTCAGCTAAGATATTTGAGAGGTATGGTAGGATTGCAGCATGTGTGAGCAGGCTGAAGCCAATCTTACCTCATCATTTTAAATAATGATGTCAGTAAGGATGGCAGTGTGGTCTTCAATGCAAACTCACTACCCCAAAATCTGTATCATACATCATAATAGTGATTACCAAGAGGCTTTTAAGGCCGTAGTTGAGCTAGTTGGTCTAGTTAATTTTTCCTCATGTAGGCCCAGAGAAACCACAGTGATCACTCCTGTTTGCAGTTTGCTGCTCAGTCACATGACACCTGGTTTCACTGAAATGATTTTCATTTTTTGTATATACAACATTTTTCATATTCGTTGTCATTCAGGAGCAAACTTCAGGAAAATTGCACTAAAAAAAAAAAAAGAGGTGCTGTCTGGAAGTCTCCTTCATTTCCTTGGCAATCATTATTAAGACTATTGTTCAGGTAGGGCATTTTCTCTCAGAACATCTGCTAGAGTGTGTTAACCTGAATCTAGATGTGGACAACTTTATATATGGAAGTAAGTTGCCAACTCTGAAGTAATTTGGGGAGTGAATAAAAGACAAGGTGTGGAAGAAGAGTAAGCCCCACTTGAGCACAGCATTTATCACCCAAACATTTTGAAAATCATGGGAGGATTTATATATTCAAGTTGCAATCACTAAGCATTGCTTTTGTTTTCTGCTATTTTAGGCTGCAGGAGGAGAAGATAAAATTTCAACTGAATTTGACTTTCCAGTTTTTGCTAAAACAAGGACAGGTAGAATTTGAAAGTACTGAGATCCCAGATTACGCTGATGCCATTTTCATTAAAAAGAGCGTTATTGAAGAACTGAATTGCAATATCATGGTAATTTATGAGGGAGGAAGCTTAAGTTTCTTAAATAAAATATTGTCTTTCAGAGATTGGGTTTTTTTTCTGTAATATCTAGTTTCAAAGCAATAAGGTCAACTGTAAACTACAAGATGGTGAGAATTTTGTAATGTCTTTTACTATATATAGATTGCAACGTGGACTGCTTTCTTTATGTTTGATCAATACAATTCAGATGAATGAAACAGTTTTTAGACCTACCATCACTTACATGCTGTAAATAGAAAATATTAATATTACAGGCACAAGCCCTAAAATTCCCTCAAGGCAAACATACAGTCATGTTGAACCTTAGGTTACAGTAAGATTTAAAAAAATAATAATACAACTTTTAATATAAGGTTTCAAGTGTAAGTATCACTTCCACAGTTTTTCATACTCACTAATGTTTTTATTAGGCATTCTACTGTAAGTTTTTATTTTTCATGCTCCTGCACAAATAATTCAGTAATAACTACAGAATACCTTAAGTGTGTATTTTGCAGAGCTGCCGTAATGTTCTTGTAAAATATAAGAAGATGGAGTGTGATGTTATTTGTAATTTTTGTTGTAATTTTCCTTCTGTGATCCAAGGCTGTGATGTGGGACACAAAAGGGAATAAAATTCCACAAAAGATAGCCATCTAGAGCATCTGGAATTAGTGTATTCTATGGCGTATTTTCCTTACTTAATCTAGTAACTTTGGCACCTTGCCCTTGTTGCAACTAATTATTTCATAACCCATGAAATGTATTAACTAAAAATAATCTCTATTTTCAGGATCAAGTAGAAAAAAAAATTGCTAGCATGGTGGAATGCAAAGAATTCTCTAAGGGGATATTTCAGCTGGAATGGGAGCACAAGAAAATGAGAATGCAAATAGAAGATCTGAATCAGAAAGCTCGGGATATTGCAACATTACCTATTACCAAAGATCGCCAGCTAGTGAGTTATTTTCTCTAAGTTACATTTTGACCACAGTGAATTTTGTTGCACAAAGCTTTTGTCTATTAATTTGGTGGGTTGGTACCCTGAAAGGATGAATGTTGAATCTACAGAAATCTGTCTACTGCCTATTTTTGACTGCCCTCTGTGCTTAGATTACCTTATAAATTAAAGTATAGTTTGGTGTTTTGCTGTTGCTTTAAAAACAAACAAACAAACAACAAAAAAACACAATTTGTTCAGTCTTTGTTTGCATTAAATCATAGAAATCATGCTTTTTAACAGCTGTATGGTATAGTATTCCTGCAGCATCAAAACCTGTCTTTAAAATGTCCATTTATGATGACAAGTAAGGTTTTTTTACTGCAGAAAAGTACACTGAGTTTTTTGTTTTTTGTTTTTGGTTTTTTTTTTTTTTTAATTTCACAATTTAACAAACAGGCTTGACAGCTGATTTACTTGTTTTTAATTCTCAGTTCCTAACCATGCTGGACTATGATAGCCACATTGCCCACCGCATCGCAGTGATGGAGCAGACTCTTTGTGTCATGGATAAGGTGAACCACCTCCTTTCACAGATATATCCTAACTGTTCTGCATTAGGAAAAATGCTTTTAAAGAATAATGGTAACTGATGTAGCCATACTAAACTCTTCAGCTAGCTCAAGGACTGTTGAAGTGTAACCACAACAGTACACACAGATGAATATATGAGGGCTGATGAAGACATGAAAACAATGCTTTCTATGTTACTATGTTAGTCCATGATGTCAGAGGTGGATGTTGGTGGAATGGCTGTAGAGGCTGAACCTTCCTACCAATATTCTGCTATGTGTTGTTGCCATGGGACAGATGGCAGCAGAGGGGCAGTCTGACAGATTGGCATCTGACAGGGAAGCAAAGGTGTGTCATTGAATTCTTTCATGTGCAGAAGAATGGCACCCACTGACGGTCATTGATGCTTGCTGAATGTTGATGGAGTCCAAATAGAGGATGTGAGCACAGTGAAGTGGTGGGTGGTGTGTTTCAGTGGTGGCAGCAACAACAGTGGGTCACCTCATATGAGCATGGCATGCAGGCTCTTGTTCATCACTGGTAAAAACGCACAGCTAATGGAGGTGAATTTGTTAAAGTGCATTGTAGCTGAGAATTTATCAAATAGTGCTGTTATGCTCTCTGCATCTGTTGAATTTCCATTACTTTTGGAGCAACCAGTGTGCAATAGCTATGTTGTTTATTTATCTGTCTTTCAATAGTTTCAACTTGCCCCGAGCCATCATAGCAGCACTGTAGCCAGTAGCCAGCTAGAAAACTCTGAAGTCTTTGGAAGCGGTTGGGCATGAATCTACTTTGTTCCTAGAATTAAATGTCTTCCTTCTTGAAAATTTGAACGCAGACCTTCTTAACACTTCTTACAAATCACTGTCTATGAAAGTCACTATTCTATTTTCTAATGAAGTCTTGTTTCAAATCTTCACTGCTTAATGTTTCTCTCTAGCAGCAAGTCTGTTCGTAGTATCACTGCCTTCCTATATTCAAAATAACACAGACACAATTAGTTCCTTACCTATTTTAACATTTTATGTCTATTCTTGTTTTTAAGGGATTCCACTGGATTTTCTGCAGCTTACTGTAAATGACATCAGCTGCCATTTTCTCTAAGTTCCTCTTCAATCTTCAGTATTGACTTTATCTCTTTGCAGCCCTTCAGATGTCTTCAGCACAGCAGCCCTACCTTCTGCAGCATCTGGCAGCCAAAGAGAACTTTCAATGCACTGGTTTCATTGACTTCCTTTTCCTGCTTTGCCTGTTCTGTAGTTAATCTTTCTTCTTGACCAATGCATTTTTCTTCCTTGTCTGCTACTTCTATTTAAACACTCTAAAGCATACTGAAATAGTGTGAAAGTAAAGCTAGAATGTGCTACTGGTCAGATCCAAATACATGGAAATAAACAGAGCTAATATGCAGCGTTGAAGACTATAGGCTTTCATCCAAAGTTTGAACAGCTTTCATATAATCTCATGTATTTGTTTTATTCATTTGGAAATGCACAGCTGCACAAGAAGAATATGAAGAAGCATCAGAAGAGAATCAAAGAGTTGGAGAAGTGCATCAGTTTAAAAGAGCAAGCAAACTATGAGCTGAGCCTTGAGCTGAAGGAAATGCTCGTGTCTGTTTCAGAAAGGAGGCATATCTATCATGCAGCTGGTGAGTTGCAGTAATGCACTTTAAGTCACAAACAAAGAACATTCAGAAAGTATCTCCCACATTAGACAGTCCTGTTCTCCGTCAGCATCCTAAAAGGCAAGGAATGTTTATTTACTATTTCACATGCATAATTAGCAGTACTTCTACCACGACAATCTTAACATTGTTTACGTAAGAACATTCCTGCAGATGGATACTGTTGTAACCAAAGTTGATTTAATTATTGAAAGTCAAAATATTACAGCCATTAATATCTTCATTATACAACAGACCTTTATTTGTAAGACTGTCCAACACACTTCTTTTCACATACTTAAAGGAACAGAGGAACTAAGAAGGATATCCCTTATTAGGAAAGCTATATAGTTCTTCCAAATGTCAAATGATTAATTTCACAGCATTGGGTATTTGTTAAAAAATAAAGGAAGTGCAGCCAGTGCCTTTTAAACTTTTTTTGCTTTATTCACTACTATAAAGACCATTAAACCCAACTGTGAGCCTTTTTGAAAAATGTGTGCTGCTTTTATACAGAAATTGGAATGACCCTTGAGCAAGTCCAGTACATTTGTAGACTATGCATCCACTTTATGTATAGGCTGACTCATATATTGTTTTATGCAGACATGCAGCATATTTTTGAAAGGAATGCAAAGCGGCGTTACCAGGAGATTTTGAAGCAGAAACATCTGCGAGGTCTCATAGAGGAACAGGAAAAACACCTTGGAATTCTTCAAGCAGAAGCTGAAAGATTAAGATCGAAAACATTCCCTATTCTTTAAAAATCCCAATCCTGGTAGATATACAAGAATATGAATTTGGAAATCTACCTTTTGTCTCTGCACTTGTCTTTCAGCAAATATTTTTTTCTGGTACCATCTCCTGTTCTTCTGTTTCTTCTCAAATAACATCACTTTGAAGGATACATGTTTGTTTCATGCATTTTGTACCTTGTCTTACCTACATTTTTTTTCTTTTGTGATGCATTTCTGCTCTTTTGATTATATAAACCATATAGCTTATTACAGAAAATAACTGAAAGATTATCTTGTAGGAATTATAGGAATACACCTATTCTACTTTCTTAGAATGCAGTTGTAGGATATTGTGAAGTACTGCAAGAAAGCAGTAAATCTGCGTCTGCCACTTGCTTCCCTTTTCCATGCTTCATGTCAGTTTCTCTCTACCTTTAATAAATTCCCATAAAATCTAAAATTATTCCTCTGACAGTATTAATAGCTTTGATATCTTGATTCAGCAAAATCCTATACCTGTAATGAAATGTACTTCTGTTGTGACTGCATTACAAACACTTCTGCTTAATCGCCTCAGAGGATTTTAAAGGATTCCAAATACATCTCCATTCTTCCTGCATGCTTTTTTGCTTCTTGCTGAAACTTCCTTAGAAACAACAGAATTCCAAACTCGCTAAAGGTCTTAGGAAAAAGAACTGCCCCCAAAAGGAAGTCCCATCATCTTGTTTCAGTAAGTTAAAGAGGCAGAAGAAATGAATTATTAATACCTAAAATGTGATCAGTAATAAATGTTGTTCTTCATTAATTCCCAGTGGGCAATGCCACTCAGTATTCCTCAAAGTAAACTGTGGCTACAAACTTCAATTTAATGAGCCCTAACAACATTAAAACAAACTATTTCATCTGTGTTTTTCTTTCCACTTCCCTTGGGGTACGAACAAAATTACTTCCTTATTAATGAGTAATTGCCACATATAAAGAAAGCAGTTAAACTACAGCAAATAAGGAATGGGGTTGTAGTTAAAAATATTTACAGCAGGAAGCATGGTAGATCAAGTACAGATCTATATACTGTTACAGTGGATAAAAGAAGGAAAACAAAAGCAGACAAACCACCACAATACATACATAGAAGTGAGAAAATAAGCAATTTCAAGTTGAAATAATAAGAGTAAAACATTTTGAGAAGACAGTGTTTATTGGAGAAGGAATGAAATGCTGGAGTTTTCTTTAGTGTTACTGCAGAAAGGTAAATGATGCTGTAATTGAAGAACCTTGGAGAGAGAATGCCTCAGCTCTCAAATGAGCCAGTACAGTAGACAGATGGCAGTTACATTTTTTTTTTCTGTTACCAAAAGCTGTCAGAGTTCCTCTAAAAACAACTGTCTGGATGAGGGTCAGTGCCATTATGAGATACTTCCCTTAGATGTTCTTAATAGCTTTAATTATTGCTAATTGCAGTTCCAGAATATTAACACAAAAATTATCTTTACCTGACTTGCAAAATGATGTCATTAACTGGCAGCAGGAATAAGTATGGAAGATGAGGATGTATCTATGAGCAAAGAACTGAATCCTCCCCATCTAAACACCAACAGAAGTGACAGTTGATTTGAACTTGCATTCTGTCTTAAAACCATGAAGACTAACAGGTACAAGGCAGATAGCTGTTTGATTAAAGTATTACTTGATTTCATTTTATTTAAAATAATCACTAACCAAGCTCTCTAGCCAGTTTTCCAAAACAGTCTGCATAAATTCAGTTTTCACTATAAAGTAATGGTTTTTACAGCCTACCATGTTTAAGTATGCAGTTTCACAAGCTCTGATGAGAAACTCTCACCAAAACAAACTAAGTGTTGATCAGACAATGGATTTTATCAGTCCATTCAGTCTTTTTTGCTGATGCATGTAATTGAAAGCTTTGCACCAGTAGGTTACGTGTCCACAAAATCTTCTTCTGTTCTACTGTAGTGCAGTAAGTGGTCTTCCAATCCAAAAGTATCTATCAGCTGACTGAGACTCACTTTCTTGCCATCTGCAGAAAAGGCAGACTGCAGCTCATACAGCATCAGCTGGGTACTGCTTCTCCATTTTACTATCAAAGCCTGCAGTTCAGACAGGTTGTTCTAGAATTGGGATTAAGAAAAAAATAATCAGCAATATTTCTGCAAATGAAAAATGATTTTAGTACCCTGCAAATCTATTTTTATTAAATGGCTTAAACTGAGCTAATATACAAACACTACACAATTACAATTAAATGTGGCTTAAATCAATAAGTAACACCATTCAATTTCACTTCGAAGAGTGATTTAGAAGGGCTTTCTAGAGGTCATCCTTACCTTAGATCGGTACATCTTGACCAGTTTGAGCCTTCGAAGTAGCTCCTCCTTATCTTTCACTTGTTTCACCAGCCTTACTTTTTCTTCTAGGGACTGCTGCTGACTAACATCAACCCTTACTACGTTCTCTGCTGATTCGCAGAGATTGTTTTCCTGTAACGGACTTTTGAAATAAGTATTTACAATGCAGTTTCTTTCCAGGCATTCAGAACCATCTTGTAATGTGGAACAATCCATGCCTATCTTTGGCAGACACCCACTGTCAACATCTGCACAGTCTTTTTCTTCAGTATCTACCTTGAGCCGCTTTGCCACTGTAAAATTAGCATTAAATGAACGTCTTGTTTTCCTTAATCGTTCCCTTAGAGTTGCACTCATTGGCTAAAGAAAATGAAGAACAAGAAAAAAACACTCGTCTTCAATCAAATTTCAAAGAACTTTTGATCCATACAGAACATGTCATTAGTAAAGACAACCGTAAGACAGACTTCTGAATTGTCACCGTCTTTTGCAAACGTTAAAGTTAACCTCTTCCTTTCAGGTGTGTTTGCACACAGCAACAATTTACTAAAAATATATATCTGTATTGCCTTGTTTATTTATATACGTGTGTGTGTATAATCCTTAAAGTAAACCCTCATTAATGCACTTAGTCTTTGTGCAAAGACACATGGCATATTTCAACTTGGCTATTTCCAGCTAGTTCCACTTCTCCTCTTGTTTAATGGAGATAAGGATTTTATTTTTTTCTTAACATTGCATCCTACCACACACACACTTCCTTTATTAGCACTAGTATAAAACATCTATATACTACTTAAGAGTATCTGTTAACTTGTTTTTAAGTGTTTGTTTTTAAGGGACTTAAAGGCATGAACAAGTCAAAATTATGTATATAGTTATGCATATGGTTTTGACTTGTTCATGCCTTTAAGTCCCTTAAAAACAAACACTTAAAAACAAGTTAACAAATGTATTTATAATTTCTAACGTTTTTATCCATGGAAAAATCCTAAAGCACAGGAAAGGATTAGTTAAGGGACATTTGCAATTTAGCCTCATCCAGCATAGTTCCAGTTTACACTGATATGCACTATGGCAAGTCTGAGTGCTTCACTATCACACGTGGGAGGAGAAACACCAAAGCAGAGAGTACTATTTCCAAATGCAAGTAGAAGTCACAGGAGGTCACTTTACATATACGGGAACCAAGAAAAGTAGGACCTTTAAGTTTCTATACCTGTTTTCCTGAACTAGTCCTCTGTGGAGCTGCTGTCCCAGAATCCTTTGGTGTATGGCACAAAGACGTCAATTTATCACACGCTGCTTCCTCCATCTCAAGGCAGATAGCAGTTCCTGTTGAAAAACAAATTGGGTGCTGCTGTTCTCACCTGATTATAGAGAGCCACATGGCTGCAGAAATGAGTAAAAAGCTCTGGTAAGAAATACTAGGGTTTATTTTCTAATGGTTACGAACTGTTACAGAGGAGCAAGAGAACTTATGAACCACTTGGACTTAGTATGCCTGTAAATCAAAGGTCAGATCCTACAACATCAAACTCGTCAAAAACCCTTACTCCAAATAAACTGTATTTTCTTAACCTCAGTGATCCCTGCTGCGTGTCTGACTCAAAGGCACAACCTTTACAAAGCCAGGTTGTTCAGAACCAGTCCATTCATTGAAGGGCAGCCCGAGCAGCGATAAAGCATTGCTGGGAGCCACAAGATTTTTGTAGTCCATCTGTGTGATCAACCTTTTCCATTAAAAATAGTAACAGGGTACTCATGAAATAACCCACTGCCTCGTTTGATCCTTCTGAGGATGCCGCCACACAGCTGGAAATTTAAAGTCCACATTCCCCGTATGCTCCTGAATGGAAGCGGCACACCTCTCAGCACGAGCCAACAGTACATTGATTTCAGCGAGAGTTCGCACAGCGCTCGTGAGCCACCTGCTAATGACCGAGCTGCAGCCGCAGCTTACCTAAAAACTGTAACTAGGAACCTCAAAACGGAATTCCCTTTAAAATCCTGCAAGCAATCGCGCTCTTTAGAGCTACGCTTGGCACGCCGGGCCGGCCCCTAGCGCTGCCTGCCCACCCGCTTACGCCGCGGAACCGCGTTCGGCAGCTCCCCCCAAGGGGCCTTCCACCCTCTAGAGAAGCCGAGGAAGGAGGAAGGCCGGGGTTCAGCAGCCCGAAGAGAAGAAGAACCCGCAGGAACCACCCGTCGCTGCGCCCCACGCCAAGCAAAACAATGCACGCAGCTCCTCACCGAGCCGAGCGACCCGCCGGCTGCGCTTCAATTTCCCGCTTCCGGGCAGTGGGCGGGGCGCGAGGGGCTGCGAGCGGGGAAAGGCGGAGTGAGGCTCGCGTGCGTGGTGTGGGAGGGCGCGTTAAGGTTGTGATCGGGCGGGCGGATGGAGGCCCGCATCCGTCGTGGAGGTGCTAGGCGGGGCCGGAGTTGTGGAATACCCCGTGCAGGATATCTACGTAGATCCTATACGGGCTTACCACTGCAGCTGGGCTAGCTTGCTGCGTCTGGTAGGCCAGCATGGACACGCTGCGTTCTGGCCGAGGCCTTGATCGAGGCTGGCTGCCATCTTGCTGCACGTACTCCTGCCTCAGGGAGAGGGGTCTCAACATGGCGCACTCCACAGCGCAGTGGTAGGCTGAAGTCTGACTGGGATTTCAGCGCTGCCAAGGGAGCCATGGCTCTGCTTCCCTCAAAGCACCTTCTACATCAGATGCTGTCTCCTCATAGAAGGGGAAAAGCTGCACGCTTCCCAGCAGACTTTTGTATTTCACAATACTGATCTGTATAGGATTTATTTATTCAGCACAGCTGTGCCAGGACTGAGGAAACAATCAAAAATGACCATAGTGGTGATTGCTCCCACTTGTATCAGGCCCTCTTGCTGCATTGGTCACAGCTGAGCACATGGAGCAGGCACACCTGCACAGAGATTGTAGGTCGTGCTCTTTATTTCTGTAGCAGAGCAGCAGCAGTTTGTTGGCTGATTGCTCCGTGTAGCTATAGAGGAGGATGCTGGGCTTCCAGCTATGTGGAGACAAGAGTGCATTGAGGTGAGTAAGCTCAGTATAGGAAACATTAGTTTGACCCTAGGTATGCTTGCTTATTTCAAATAGAATTTCGTAGTGACAGTAGAGCCTTTTTCTCTCAGAACGTTAACAGTAAAGGTATCAAAGCATTCACAACCCTCTTGTGAGTTGGTCTGGGAGATCGGAACACCGTTAGATTATTTGACTGTGTGAAACAAATGCGTAGCCACGTAGAATATTAGCAAATACCTATTTACCAAATGTTTCAAGTTAAACCATGTGATCAGTTGTAACTGTGCAGCAAAAACACAACGTAATATCTCCCCCGTTGCTTGAGGCAGTTGTGAGGCATTTTTAAACTTTGGTGTGGCCTGGTGCTTTTGATAGTTTATTACAGCTAAACTCATGTCATATATTTTAAAGTATGTTTAAAAAAAAAAAAAGTGGACTTTTCAAGTGAAGTAGTGAAATTGCTCGTGGAACTCCTGCAAATGGATCAATTCAGCTGAATTTCAAGTGCACTGGAGCTTTGAGACAACATGTCTCCAACTTCACAACATGTTTCCTTCTGTCTCAGGGATGGTCCCATTTTAAATTACTCATGCTCTGTTGCACAGACACGCTAGCAGTTGAGTTGCACAAGAACAACAGAAAGCTTAGGATTTTAGATCGTTTGCCAGCTGAGATTCCAGTAAGATTTTACAAGAACATAACGCATGAAAAAGTCATCTCGTGTATTATCATTGCTGCCTTATTAGAGCAACGCCCATGTGCCCCACCCCAGGTAAGGATTCCAGTGAGCTTGAGACTGTAAATATTGAAGGATGGCTCCACATGTAAGGTTCATGTAGTTAACGTAATGCAGAGAGGAGAGAAAAGGAAACTATTATCAGTGTTCACTGATAGGTAATGGCTCTAGGAGGAGGTTCTGCTTGAGATTAGTGTTAAGTGTTCAGCTGTGTGCACCAAGTTTTTATATGGATTTACTTTGTGCTTACATGCGTGAGCAGTCTTGCAAAAGCATGTGACTGGTTGAGGCATTGGGCAGGAGGCCTGGGACTGCGCTGGGAGCTGGAGTCATCTCAGTCTCTGTCCAGAACTTTTATTGCAGAAATGCAGTAGTATTTGATATTGTGTTGTCCACATCTTAACCACGGCAAACAGAAGTCAGACCAACATCTTCCTCTCAAAAAGGAAAAAGAAATTACTGATGTGTTACCATACCAGCACGTCTATGGCACGCTGTAGAGCATTTTGCAACAGTTCAGTTAAGCTCACCAATATGTGCATACAGTTAAGCATTATAATAGCTGTTGTTTGATTACTTTTTATTCATTTTGTGGTCAAAATAGTTTGAGTTATGCAAAATTAAAGAAAAAAATTATAGGAAATTGAGCACTGGGTAATATAGTTATTGAGATGTGTTTGCTGAGCATACCTTCAGAGGAAAGCAGAGAAACTTGTTTCCATGAAAGACGTCCCTGAAAGCTTACTACTTGGTTTTATTTGTTTTTCCAGTGATGAGGCTTTATTGATTGGATTTTTTCAGTTTACACCAGTTGAATGGCAGACAACTCACCTGTACAAGTGTTCTCTTTTTAAGGTCTCTTTCATTAACCTTACGTTTCTAGAGGAGCAGTAGTGCTTAAACATCAGTGCTAACATGACAAGAACATGTTATGGGCTCCTGTGGCATTATCTGTTGTAGCACATCCAAAGTGGAGAGAAACAGTGAAGGATACTTACTGGCTCTGGGTTGACCTTTACAGATTCTTCTCTTCCAGAGCACCAGAAATGTTTTTAGAGTGCCAGAACTTCCATTGAACAGCTTGTTGGGCACAACAGTTGTGCTTCTTCTCTCTAAGCATTGCCAATGAGTAACGGAGATGTTAGCCAACATACTAAGTCTTGAGGCACTTATGCATTGTTCCCTTTTCTTATTTTTTGAAATCTATTGATCTTGCTTAAAGCCAAATGATGTATCCTGACGCATGAAGTATTCTGCACTGTCTACATGTTTTCTCTTGCCTGAGGCAGCAGGGTGGAGTGTTTTTGAGCATCCAACCACTAACTGCTGCAGAAATTTTTCAGTTCCCACCCGCTTCAGCATAGGCCTTGGGCTGTGTTTTTACTGGCTGCAATTCACTCCTCAAAAATGTTCTGACTTGTTTATAGCTGTTTAAATATTTTAAAGGAATGGCTGCTAGATTCCCAGAATAAAACCAGTTCAGACTGCAGTAGAATTTGACCTTGAGATATAGATTCTGCACTTGTAATGCTGTAAATGTCCAGTAGTTACACTGAAGTCACTAGAATGTTATCAGCGTAAAGCTAAAGCAAGAGCAGAATCGTGCTGCCTTTTCTGCTGTGCAACTCGAGGCTTGCTTGGACAACCCCTTATTTTTTCCTTCAATTTTCAAGGTACCTGTCTTGAAAGGAAAAACTGAATTAATTTATTGTAGCTGAGAGGTACTGCAATTTGCCAGTACAAATGATAATAATATAAGTGCCAATTGAGTTGGTCTTCCAGTTCTTGCTGCTGCATGCGAGAATAACCAAGTGGGTGAGGCACAGAGCTAATAAAAGGGAACAACATAAGAATGTCTTTTATTTTCATTTCGTATGTGGGATTTTCTCTGACGCAGTCCTGCCAAAAATTACAGTGTTTGAAGTCTTTATGAGACTAGCAGGCAGTGAAAGGAAACAATAAACAGACCTTCAGTCTTCTTGTCTTTGGTGGAGAACTGAATGGTCATTATTTTAAGAAAATTTAAGCCTTTTGAATCTAAACCTATGCCCAGACTAGTACCTGGTACAGCTTTTTGTTGTGTGCGGTGCTCTAATCATATTTTTAAAGGTGTTAAAGGTATTAGAGGTTGTTTTTCTAAAGGAACATGCAGCTCTCTGCCCTGTAATGCTTGCTCAAGGTAGTTGTTAAATTGGGCTTGCTTACATCCTGGTGTAGAAAGTCTGTTTCAACTTTTAGAATGAGATTGGAGAGAAGTTCTTGGAGAAATTGTGGGTGAAATCTGGCTTGGTCTTGGTGTCTTAATGTTCCATGTCTTCAAGTAACAGAAGCTGTTACTGTGGAAAAGTAGACTCCTTGGTGTTTGGCAGAACACAATCTTCTCTGAGAGAGACGGGCATCGCTCAGTTGAGCAGGGTCATTAGGAGCTTGGCTGAGGCATAGTAAAGCCAAAGTTCAGAAACTGGTAATGTCTCTCTCTTTACCTACTGCGTGGCAGTGCAGTGTTACACTGAGTGTATTTGCATGACGTGGGTTGTAGTGGAGATTGAAGAGTTGCTTCTTTTTCTGACATCCTTGTACATAAGTTCATTTCACGCTGTAACCTGATAACATTTACCTGTGCTACTGACTGGTGAAACTAAAAGCTCGGACGTGGCTTGATTGCAAGTGTAGATGGAGATAATTTGAGGGCTGTTACCCATAGACTGCAGGACTACAGGTAACATGCACTACCCAGTGGGTGCTGTGCTGGTATGCCAATCAAATGCTGCAGCAAGCAGGTAAGAACACATGGAGATGCACACCTTACATTCTTCCTGAACTCCTGGGGTCTCACTGTGGCTCTGAAGGTAGACATCAGTGATTCTTGTCTGTTACCACTTCACCAAACCTCGCTATGGTTTGTTTTAGAAAAATATCCATAATACTGAGCCACACCTCGTTCCCTCCCAGACTGCTGTGTCAGCATGCAGGATCTGAAAATACACTTCCTCCATGTTACTAAGAAACAAAATAGCTCACTTACCTGAGGCTACAGAAACCCTTATGAAGTAAAAACTTAGAGGTGTTTTCCTAAGGATGAAATATGAATGAGGCATACAGAGAATTTTGCATCTTTGGATACTGGTGACAGTAAAGTGACATTTAATTAGCTGAGGTTTCAGAGTGGCAGTGCTGTCAAATACATAACTATGCTTATACTGCAGACAGGCTCAGAATCCAAAATACTTGTGGGAGAACTGGTTGAAAGGGTTTTTGTTTTGTTTTGTTTTCCTGTTAATAACTTACTTAATAATTGAAGTATTATTATTGATGTAATTGATGGGGTATGGCTGTTTATTATTTGTGCAAACAAAATCCCTTCTGAGCACAGCTAGATTAGGAAAAGCATCAGCAATTGTGAAAACGTAGGAAACACGCTTTTAAATATAAAGATTGAAGCAAATTCTTAAAAGTCAAAGGATTTAAGGTACTTACAGACAGTGAGAACTAAATAAATACTTGTTT